TTCCCATCATTCGTACTCCATCATTCCCATCATTGTGCAACCCCATCATTTCCATCATTTGTACTTCATTATTCTCACGCCACACATTTTCCACACTCCTATCTTCGTACCACCTTACCGATCCTTCGCCGTTACCACAGTATGATTGCATTTTTTTGTGTCATGTTTCACGTATCTGCATTTCTGACTAACCATTTTATTCAAATCGAGTAAGAAATTTTTCTTATTCAAACATCATAGGTAGAATTTAAATACTTATATCTTAATTTTAAAGAGTGAGAGAGAATGTGATGTAATGCATTCTTTGAAATATGCAAAAATATATAACAAAAAACGTGCCTTAAAAAAAAAGAAACGTTAATCTAAAAACATAATGGGTCAAATGTCACAATCTCAAACTAAATAAAAAAACTACTTCGAGCAGTGTGGTTAAAGTGATAACGCCAGAAACAATGATAATGTAATAGAAAAGGTGGATGAAATTTGGGTTAAGAAAAGGTTTGATTGTAGATTTTTATTTTCTCCAATAACTTTTTAGATATTTGTGATGGTCAATAAAGATAAAGGAACAAATGAAAATATTGGCGTTATCTTGTAATAAAACATGTGTGTTTTATATTTTCATTTGAAAATAGTAAGACTCAAAATTTAATTCTTATAGTAATATTATATTATAATCGTTATAAAAATCTATTAAACAACTGATAGATTTCTGATTTAGATTACGAATTGTATTATTTATTTTAATCTATAAAATGCAGTCAAGTCGATTTACCTATATACCAGAAATATCAATTGTAAATTATTCAAAATCAATATGAAAGTTTATATTGAGAAACTAGTATAATACTTCGAGAATGATTATTAGAAGAAAGTGAGATATTATACAGAGCAGTATTATTATATTTCAGAATAGGGGATAGAAAAATCTGACTAATGTTAATCGTGTCTTGAAGTTAATTATGAAAATATTAATGAAATTATAATTCAGATTGAAAATATCATAAAGGTATTCAAAATCTAGATAACTACTTAATTATAAAGTACATCTAGAAGCAATTTTCGCTATTATTCAAGTTCTACCTTAAGTATTAGTAAAGTAATAATTCTATATGTGTATATTAATATATCATAGTTTTATTTTTTTTATATAAATATAATACCATATTTAAATTACGCGTACTTGGTTTTTTAAATATTCTTAATATTTTGTTACTTTGTATTAATACAATTAGCTTTGTTTGTTTCTAGAAATGTGCAATAAATTAAAAAGAATATAGTTATATTTCGATAAATTATATTTACCTGTAAAAATTGATTAATTTTTAATGTCAAGGAGATCTTCTAATGATAATGATTAGCGAATATATTTATATTAAATTAAATTAATTAACGAATTTATTAATTATTTTTAAATTAATTTATTTGAAGTTTTAAATTTATTTTTTTAAACAGTAAATATTATTGTTAAAGCTGAGATCTTTGTAAATAAATAATTAATTTATACTTTTTAAATGAAAATTATTCATTAAAAATCAAAACAAATCTATTTGGAAATTTATCACATTTTGGTTATATTTTTTTGAGTCATTTTATGGTATGATAAATTATAGTTTATCTTATCTTTACCATTTTAAAATATATATACTTATGATGATGTAATTAATAAGTAATTTTTGTGCATTTGTGTTCACCTGAAGGGACCAATAATTTTGTCTATTTCGTAAAAAAAAATATTTTTCATCAGTTATAAATAAAGCTTATTGACTCACCTAAAAACTTCTTTTTAACATACATATATTTCATTATGCTGTTTCATTTATCGTTTATCAAGCCACTGTTTGGTCAGTATTTATTGTGAGCGAAATATTTAATGCTTGCTTTGAGGTTTATTTCCCTGTTTTGTTGTTTCATCTACACTTGAGTCATATTTTGGAAGGTATTTTATTTAGTGGCAGTTTTTCTCTTTTTTTTCTAGATAGTATACAGAGGTAGTGAAGTGCTAGTAACCTCTCCTACTTCAGTGTCCTTAAAGAGTTAAGAAAATGCTCCCCTTTCCCTTTCTTTCTTTTTTCTTTATTTCTTAGTAGTTTCTCTCTTTTTTTTTAAGAAATTATACTGAGGAACCATATAAAAATTCATACCCTTATTGCATTATCAACTAGTCAGAACTTTCTTCTCAAGTATTTTCATATTGAGGTCAAATGCTAAACTCTTTTTTTACATCTTCTCTGATTATATGGAGTGCAGTATGGAGTTTTGTCACAATGTACTCATTATGCATAACTTCCAAACTGTCTGAAAGCAAGGAGCCATAATCTCATCACCTCTTGTTAATTTCTGTGATACATTCTTCAAAGTACTTATCACTATTTTGAATATCATGAGTTGGTGAAATGAATAATGGAATTGCACCTATGCCTTCAGATTCAAGACCATATTCCTCCAACACTTCATTCAAACTTTGATATGAAGAGAACACTCCTTAGCAAAGTCAGCAAGCGTTGTAGCGGGTCCAACCTTCAGGCTATAATCTCTGAGATCTTGCTTAGTGATCTTGAGAAAAATATGTCCAGTGATTTGTTCTTGCGAATAATTCCCAAGTCATCCTCATCAAGTCTTCCTTTTGTAAAAATTTGATAACAGTACTTGTATCATATTTTTTAATTTCATCCACTAACGTGGGATCATATTTTTTCTTGGTCACAGTGGGGAAGTGGTAGTAGTTTCTGGAGATGAAGTGGAAGCAGATATAGTTTCTAAATAAATTTTAATATATTGCTTGGTCAGATAAAAATCTTGGAAATAACATAAATTTCTGAAAAGTGAAATTAATTTTTGTGAAAAAAAGAAGTGGTATAATGAGTGATAGTAAAATATAATTAACCCATAATAAAATATATTACAGGGTGGAAATTTCCTCTCTGGTTATTTTCTAATAAATAACAAATGCATACCCATATTATTTCTGGGACCTTAAAAACCTGCATCAAAACTTAATCTAAAAGTTACTCTTCCCATCGTAACCAAATCGAATGGGACATGTACTAATCCAGAAGACTCTTCACCAGGATCAATTTCATTTTTCTTAATTTTATTTCCGTAGTTGTTGTTAGGAAACAAAGTACCTAACCATCCATTCTTATAAGTCTTTTGGAAACAACCATAAGGAACATTGAAACAACCATGCTCCAGAATTTTTCGTCAACATTCCCATATAGTCGGAGACTTATTGAACGATGACTGGTTCTAACCTATCTAACCAGAAATCAATGTCTAATTCTATATCACAGATTTTTGCTCTTTTTTCTTGAAGATGTAACCAATTTTCCAAGGTGCCTTCAAGGGTGACCTTTGGAATACCACAAAGAAACATTACTTTGTATTCAAGATATTTTTTTTATTACATCTAACAAAATAATTTGGCTCGCAGAAATAATAAATGTATTTGTTGAGGTAGAAAAATCACATTCAAGATATTTTTTTATATCAACTTTTAGATTCGCTTGTCGGTAGTACCAGAAAGTTGAGCAATCACTCGTGACCAAATTTTCAATTGACATATTCTAAAAATTCATTGGCAAGTATTGCAATATCTTTTTTGCCTTCATGATCAATGAATAAGCACCGAAAATGTTCAGCAACCATTAACCATACATCATCTGATGAGAATCGAAGGAGTTGGTCAGGTTATAAGTCTGGATGATTTCTGAGACAAATCCATGTGACGAAAAATTGTTGAATTATAGAAGTTGGATTGGAATCAGAATTTTCCGTAAATTCAGACGAGAAAGCATACACTTATTTTTAGCTCTAACATCTTCATGTCCGAGATGTTCATTTTTTTGTTCTAGCTTATCAGTTGTTTTTTGAATACTTTTTGGTGACGTTATTTGTTCAAACCGATGGTGCTTAAATAAAATATCCTAGAATAAAAAATATATAAAAATCACAAAAAGATTTAACGCTAGCAATATCTGCCACTTAGTGGGTAAAATCATTATGTATAACCTTCGAACTGTGGATCTATTTTTATACTTTTTCGAAAAACTAATTTGAAAAAATAATGAAAGTTTAAAAGTTAAAAAGTCAAGAAAACTTTTAAGATAGTAAAATAATATTCAATATTGAAACGGTTTGCAATTAAATTTTCGACAGTTCTGAGAATTTTGTGAATGTACAACAAATGAAATGAAATATCATGATGTAAAAGTTTATATAGTTTGGATTAATTAATTGAACTTACATATGTGCATCAATGGGTTAATATGTTGTCTCGTATATGTGTAAATTGTATACGTACTAAATTGTACAATTGTACTATAACTCATAGTAATTGTTGATGTCCCAGGATATAATGATCTATTAATAACAGGAAAGATTTATAGATTTGAAATAGTAAAGATTTAGGAAGAATCAAAGTAATGAAGATTTAAGAAACAAAGATTCAATTAATGAAATAAAAAATTAACATACCAAAATTAATCTTTGAATTTTCAACTGATAAGTATTTTTTATTTATGTCCAAACATAAGTAATAAATTTTAAATATTAAAAAAATTTCAGTAATTGACAATTGCAACCACTGCTACTAGCTGGGCTATGATAATCATCGATATTATATGTTATCTTTACACAGGAAAACTTTGGTGGTTTAAATTCTGATCTTAAAAAGGTGTTCATTCAATATATTTATTATATATTTATATATTTAATACTACATTTTATTTTAATGTATCTTTTAGTCATTTTATGATATGATAAATTATATTATCACACGGCTCCTAAATGGTTGTCCACGATTTTTTTTATTGAAATTTTAGCAACTTATATTATAATGGCTGATATTTTCACGTCCGATATTTTTATGGGTGAACATTTTTTATAAAATTATGTAAAATAGAATTATTGATAAGTTGTTTTTTTTCATTGAAGAAATAAATTCAACAATTTGTTGTTCAAGTTGCTTAATATTATTAAGATTAGTCAATGAAACTAAATAGCCTGAATTAATACAAAATTCTTCAAACATTTTTGTCCAATTTTTTGTTGATTATTCAGTATTCTTATTCTTCTTCTCACGATAATATGCTGCTTTAGTTTGTGCTTCACTTTAATTGCTATTGGACATAGTAGGTTTAATTGAAATTAACTTCTCTAATACTCATTTTGCAGTTTTAAAATAGGAATATGAAATATTAATTTTTTATTCATCTTATTTTAAAAAAGAAACTTTGAAAAAGAAAAGAAAATTAAAATTGTCGTAAAAGTAATAACCGTGGGAATATAAGCTGTAAATATCATTAAAGAAGTCACGGGCGTTATAATCCGTGAGATAAATCAGTTATTTCCCGTATTTGTCGACATAAAAATCACGGTTTATTTAAGATATCATGCATAGCCATAATGATGAACAATATCTTAAATAACCCGTGATTCTTTATATATCTATGATAAAACATGAAATAACTATCATGATGATGTAATTAATAAGTAATTTTTGTGCATTTGTGTTCACCTGAAGTGACCAATAATTTTTATTTATTTTGTAAAAAATTTTTTCATCAGTTATAAATAAAGCTTATTAACATTTCCTTTATTTTTAAAACACCCAAAACTTCTTTTTTTACAAATATTTTATCAAGCTGTTTCATTTACCATTCATCAAGTCACTTTTTGTTCAGTATTTATTGCGCAAGCGAAATTCTTACTGCTTGTTTGATGGTTATTTCCTTGTTATCATCTACTACTTCACTTGAATCATATTTTGGCAAGTATTTATTTAGTGGTAGTTTTTCTCTTTTTTTTAAAAAAAATAGTATACAGAGGTAGTGAAGTGCTAGTAACCTCTCCTACTTCGGTGTCCTTAAAGAGTTAAGAAAATGCTCACCTTTCCTTTTCTTTCTATTTTCTTTATTTTTTTAGAAGTTTCTCCCTTTTTTCTTAAGATATTATACTGAGGACCCACATAAATATTCATACGCTTATTACATTATCAACTCGTCCAGAACTTTCTTTTCATATTGAGGTCACATGCTAAACTCTTTTTTTGCATCTTCTTTGATGATATGGAGACAGTATGGAGCATTGTCACAAAGTACTCATTACGCATGGAACTTTCTGAAATCAAGGAACCATAATCGACAACCTCTTATTAATTTCTTTGATACTTTCATCGAAGTACTTATCACTATCTTGAATCTCATGAGTTTATGGAATGAATAATGGAATCACACCTATGCCTTCAGAGTCAAGACCATATTCCTTCGACACTTCATACCCTGATATGAAGAGAATGGCTTCAATTTTTTCTTTTTACACTCCTTAACAAATTCGGCAAGCGTTGTAACAGTTCTACCCTTCAGACCACAATATCGAAATCTTGCTTAGTAGTCTTGAGAAATGCATGGGCAATAATTCACAAACCATCACCACTAAATCCAAAGCCCTCTTCATTTGTAAAAATTTGATAAAAGTGACTTTTGGCATATTTTTAATTTCGTCCGCTAAAGTGGGATCATATTTTTTTCTTAGTTACTGTGGGAAAGTGGGAGTAGTTACTGAGATGAAGTGGGAGTAGTTACTGAGATGAAGTGGAAGTAGACATAGTTCTAAATAAGTTATCAAATAATGCTTGGAAAAAAAATTATTGGAAATAGCGTAAATTTCTGAAAACGTGAAATTTTATTTTTGCGAATAAAGAAGCAGTATGATGATATTGTAAAATGTAATTAATTCATAATAAAATGGATTACATGCCGGGAAATTTTCTCTCTGGCTATTTTCTAATAATTACAAACATATAAACCAATGAGATTTTACTGACCAATAGATGAAATAAACCAAAGGGAATATTCATTTCAAATACTAGGACTTTTATAAATGAAGACGAGGCAGAAGATGACGAGATGGATATATGTACTTCAAATACTGTTTCGGGAGATGAACAGATAATTTCACGATACAAAAAAGAGAATTTGGGGGTGATAATAATTCAAATGAAATACTGTTTCAACATATATCAGTGGTTTTCATTCGTGTATATAAAATATCTTAATCCGATGGAACATGATTTTATGAAGATATATTATCTAACTATACAAAGAAATTACTAACTTATGCTATCATGTAACATCTGCCCATAATAATTCCAATGGTTCTAAATATAAAATTGGAAATGGTTGTCATTTAGAGATATTTGGTGGATTATCAAAAAATGGAATATATTATTATTAAAATAAACATTATATTTAAATAATTATAAATAAACAAGATAATTAAAGATATATTTTTTATCTAATTAGAAAATTTATCCATTTGCATAGAAACAATAGAATTATGTGATTAATTTTCTCAAAATAATATTAATAATCATCGTTATCATTTCTTTATTACCCTTTACCTCTATCAGTTCTAATGAAATTTATAATACTTCCTCTTTTCAGTATAAATCTTCTTGACTTATTTAAAAAATTCAAACTACCAGTAACACTTGTCACATGAATAATCCCAACTGAGGATCACGAGTTAAGATTAGTTTTTTTTAATAATTATTATCACTATATCAAATATTCGGAACCTCACGAAATTATTAATCTAATTTACCTTCGATTACTTTATGAATTTAAAAATTTTAAATTATTTTTTAACATTGTCAATATGAAATATTAAATAAAAAATATACTCGTCTGTGGTGAATATTTGGAATTTCAGAAGATCAAAGATGAATAATTAAATGTAAATTATTTTCTCTTTTCATTTATTCTCTTCTCTCGTATTATAAAATTAATATTTGATAATTAAATTCATTTTTTTTTGCATCTACATTTAACAAATTTATATGAAATGTGAAATTTAACGAATTTACATAATTTTTTATTCTTTTTACATTTGACTTTATTTAATGAGTTAAAATATAAATAAAAATTATTCAAATTTTAATTGATTTCTTAGATTTAACTGTACTTTATTTTAATCAATCTTGATTATAACAATAGGCTATAATTGTCATCATTCTTTTTTTATATAAATTATATATATATATATATCTTGTAATGATATAATAAATGATTATTTGAACTAAAAAATCAAAAGATCATCTTTTTTATAGTTAAATCCTATTATTTAATGGAATGATCATTTCAAAGTCTAGGGAGTATATAAAATTTAGAGAATTCTATTCGGAATAATGACATTTCATTATTGCATGTATTGCAATTACACAATGAAGATTAATAAAATTAATATTTACAAAAATAGCACATCCCGTCTTCAAAAGTGCATGATTTCATTGAACAATCATTTATTTATTTTAAAATGATTTAAATGACTAGGCCTCTCACTTTTACTTTCATCAGAAATGTACCAACCAATGACTTGCCTAGTACCAAAAAAACCTACAGCAAAACTTAATTTAAAAGTAACCCCTCCTGCTGTAATCAAATTGAATGGAACATGTACTAATCCAGAAGACACATTATCAGGATCAATTTCATTATTCCTAATTTTATTTTCTGAGATGTTGTAAGGAAACAAAGCGCCTATTCATCAATTTTAATAAGTTTTTAGGAACCACAGAATTTTTCATCAACATCTGCCTTATAGGTGGAGACAAATTGAGCAATGACTGGTTCTAACCTATCCATCCAACCAGAAAACAAGGTCCAATCCTAAATCACGAATTTTTGCAACTTTTTCTTGATGTAACCAATCTTCCAAATACCATCAAGGGTCACCTTTGGAATGCCACAACGAACATTGCTTTATATTTAAAATATTTTTTCATTGCATCCAACAAAATAATTTGGCTAGCAGTAATAGATGTATTTTATGAGGTAGAAAAATCACATTCAGGATGTTTTTTAAACAAACGTTTTTAATTCGCTTGTCAGTAGTACCAGAAAGTAGAGCATTTTCTTTTGAACAGTCACCAATAAATTTTCCATCAACATATTCTAAAAATCTATCGACAAGTACTACAATATCTTTTTTGCCTTCTTGATCAATGAATAAGTAATGAAAACGTTCAGCGTTATTCAAAATGTGCCTGCTAACACCTGGTGCAATTGTTAGCCCTACATCATCGGGTGAAAATTGAAGGTGTTGGTGAAGGTTAAAAGCATGAATAATTCTGAGACAAATTCATGTGATGAGGCATTTTTTTGGATTATAAAGTTGAATTGGAATCTGAATTTTCTGCTAATTCATTTGAGAAAACATTTTCTTTACATTTGTCACCCCATTTCTTGAAGAGAACTTTAACATATTCATGTACGAGATGTTCATTCTTTTGTTCAAGTTTATCAGTTATTTTTTGGGTACTTTTTGGCGAAGTCATTTGTTTGTAAGTTCAAAAGTTAAAAAGCCAAGGAAACTTTTAAAATAGTAAAATTATATTCAATATTTGAAACGGATTGTAATTCAATACCTAATATGACAAGTCTGTGAAATAAATAATGATAATGAATTACCTCTGGAAACACAGGTTTAGGCTCTATATCATTCCAATTTCAGAATATTAAAAATTCATCCAATTCCAGCATTTTATATAATAGCTGAAAGTGTAATGCAATGAAACTTTTTTTATTTTGTTCTTGATCATCTTAAAAAATATCCTTATATCCTTCTTTATTAAGAAGTCCAATAGGTCTTGTTCAAAAACTCAAATTCCATTTTTTTTATAATTTAAATTTCTTTTGGTATAATCTAATATAAAGAATGAAATCAGATTTTTGTATATTATATTAGTTAAAAAATGATAAATAATCCAGTCGAATTAAAATAAGAACTAATTAATAATAAAAGAATCTTTTTGAAAATATACATGAAATCATTCATATTATTATTACTATCACATATCATTTATAAAAAAAATGTCTTTCTCACATTATTTAAAGTTATCTGAATTGTAGTCGCAGTAGTTGAAGAACGTATAACACTCCTCCTCCTCTGGTTCATCCACTTCCACTGCCTTTAATCTGCTTTCTCCTGACAACCTTTTCTTCACTTTCTTCTTTCCTTTTCTTTCTCTTATAATATGTACTAAAGTTGTTTAACATTTAATAATCATAATCAATACAATAATTTTATAAAAACTTTACTCACATAACTTCATACCCTTTGCTCATTCAATTTCATTCATAAATTTAAGATTATATTTTATTAATTGTTTAAAAAAACTACAACACAATATAACTTCCTACACCTTCATTCATCACCATACATCTCTTTCCAACCTGCACCTTGATACTCAACATACAGTCCCTCTTTCGGTTTACCAAAAACAAGATCGCCACGACGTATCTCCTATAATATTATTAAAAAATAATTAGATATAATTAATTATTATTATTGGTGATTATTACTATTAATGATTATAAGAAAATATTTTATCACTTACACCATCAATTATTTCTAATTTAAAAAAAATTCTTCGTGTTTTGAATTCTACGTTATCATTCTCTCCTCCAACTTTAAATGAATTCTCTCCACCTTCAAGTTTATCGACAACCATTTTCTTCTTCTTAAAACATAACTTTCCCACCTTCTTCGCCTTCTTTTCCTTCTTTTCCTTCTTTTCTTTATTATTTTTCTCCTTCTTCTCCAACTCTAATATAAAACAATAAATCAAGAAAATTATCAATTACATTATCATTATTGATAATGATATTCTGAAGATTTAGATGAATAATTACCTCAACTTCTTCAAAAACTTCGTTAACTTTCAACTTCCTCTCCTTCTTTAACAGCTTCTTCTCCTTCTTCTCCTTAATCACCTTCACAACATAATTTTTCATTTTTGTTTTAAAATTCACAATAAAATTTTTTGCTTTTGTTGTAAAATTCATTTTTTTTTGTAATTTCGAAAATTTGAAAATTTGAAAAGCCTGTGAAAAACAGGCTCGTTTAAATATTAATCTGATGAGTCAAATGTCAGTTGATTGCTTCAGACTAATGATTGGCGTTTACATCAGAATATCAAACTGAGTTTTACATATTCTTTTTTTTTAATAATTAGGAAAATATAGATATAGTTAAATCAAACAAGAAAAATATGCACAAAAAAAGTCAACTGATAACAATAATATCTGTGAAAACAAAACGGAAGTCAAGCTTTTAAAATTTTCAGTTTTATCAAATTGAGTTTACATATTCTTTTTTTTTTAATAATTAAATGTAATAACCAATCATTAGTCTGATGGGTCTGAAAATTTTGAACATTTGACTGCTCTTTTTTCCCACAGATATTATTGTTATAAAGATGACTTTTGTGCATATTTTTTTAGTTTGATTTAACTCTGTTTAGAATTTTTTTTTGCATATCCATATCATTTTTTCTGAATTTTTTTATTAAACTGAATTTTAATATATATATATATTTTTTTTAATAATTAGAAGAATATAAACAAGAAATATTTAAAGTTAAATCAAAACTAAAAATGTGTACAAAAAAAAGTCAATCACTAACAATAATATCTGTGGGAAAAAAAGAGCAGTCAAATGTTTACATCATCCGACTGATTATTATAATAGACTGATTATTACATCAAACTGAGTTTAAATATTAAATATAATATAGATACAATATTGAATAAAAAATAATACATTGTAGTCGCGATCTATAAGTTTTACGTTGTGATGTCACTCATTATTTCGCGTATTAGATACAGTTGTTATAAGATTAGAGGTCATTTGTTAGCTTATTTATATTAGTATTACGTAATATACATTGATAAGTCGCAATAAGAGTTTTTTTTTATATGACTTGATAATATGACTTGTTGCATATTTATTATTAATTATCAACTTCCGAAAGATAATATCAATTATTGATTTTGTATCTTATCGTCAGTGAAATATTTTTACCATTTTCTAATTCCGATCAAAACAATAACAATAACATTGTATTTTCATATGATCAAAACAATAACATAAAAAAAAAAATTGATGTATAAATAAATTTGATTACTGTGTGTTTTTATTTATTAACCATTTACTATATATTATATATCGGATGAAATTTTATTTATTATTATTATTTTAATATCCGGATTTTCAATTTCATTAATTTAATTACAATTCTATAAACTATAATCTAAATATATTATATATCTGATGATATTTTTTTTATTAACTATATAACTATATATATTATATATCAGATGTAACTTTATTTTAATATCTGGATTCCAATTTAATTAATTAAATTACCATTTTATTAACTATAAACTAAATACATATATATTATACCAGATGTAATTTTATTTATTAACTATTTAACTATATTATATATCCGATGTATATTTTAATATCCGAAATTTCAATTCAATTAATTTAATTACAAATTATATAATCAATTCTATGCCATAATATATGCCATGATATATGGAAATTTTTCGCTTTATTATATAAAAAAATAAAAATAAAACAAACAGTGATTATTTATTTATATTTCTATTCTAATTATTCTAATTCTTTTTTACAATGAATAAATATTTTGATTGTTATAATTATATTTCAATATTTTCACATTTCACATTTCAAAATTCTGATTATTTGTGTCTTAAATCTTTTTTATATTATCGCATGTAGATTTGAATTAATTTAAGGTAAAAAAAAAATAGAGTATGAAACATAAAAAAATTAAATATATATAAGACCTCTAGAATTACCCACTTTCAAAAATTTCAAAAATTTGTCAAAAATATAATATTTCAAAACATTTAATTATGGCAAAAAGAAAAATTTCACAAATTTCAACAAGCCCAGTTCCTCTAAGAAGGTCTGCCAGAATAGCAGCAAGAGGTATCAATAGTTTTATTATTTTTCTTTGTTTCTCTCGAAAAAAAAAATTATTTTTTCAAAAATTATTGTATCATTATTAATAAACAAATTTTATTTCTTTTATTTTCTTCTTAAACAGCAGCTGCAGCACAACCTTCTCCACAACCACTAAGAAAACGAAACAGAAGAAGTGTCAGACAAGGTAAATGATAAAAAATCATTTTATTTGAATATTTAATAATTTAAATTAATTTTTAATAATTATAAATAAATCTTTACAACAACGAAAAGATAATGATCAAAATCAACAACAACAACAACAAGTACAACAACAACAACAACTACTACAACGACAACAACAACTACTACAACAGCAACAACACCAAATCCAACAACTACAACAACTACTACAACAACAACAACAATACAATCAAGAATTACGAACAAGATATGACCAAATCCAAGTGGATTATATCTTGTTGGAAGTACAGACTCGCGAAATAAGACAACAAAATCAGTAAATTTTATTTCTTTTCCAAAATTATTATCAAAATATCTATATCTATTTTAAATTTCTTTGGTTTTTTATTTCTTTTTTTTGATTTCTTTTTTTAGTTCTTTTTTTATGTCTTATAATCCGGGGGTTATTGGGGCACATGGCATTAAGGCCACCCCCGGATGGTTCATATTTTCTATTTTTGGTTTTTTTTTGTTATTTTTTTAGGTTTTCTTTTGGTTTTTTTTTTGGTTTTTTTTTTGTAATCCGGGGGTTATTGGGGCACATGGCTTTAAGGCCACCCCCGGATTCGTTTTAATTTCTTTTTATTTCGGGGGGTTTTTTTTTGTTAATCCGGGGGTTATTGGGCACATGGCATTAAGGCCACCCCCGGAAATTTTATTAATAAAGTTATGTAAGAATTATTAATCTTAAGTTTTATTTGCATAAATTTTTTATTCTATTTTTTATTATTAATAAATATCCACTATAAGAGATAAATGACAATGCTTTAATATATAGATCCTTCTTTCTATTAATTATTTTAATTGACAAGTGTTTAGTTAAAAATATATAAACTACAATATAATCACTATATAACACTACTAAAACCAATAGTAAATACTTATTCTAAAATATGATATTTAAATTATAATTATTATTTTTATTGTCATTATAATATTCGCAAATAGAAAAGCAAAAAAAAAAAATAAATGAAAACAAAAATATAAATTATAGAATCAGACGATATTTAAATTATAATTATTTTTTTTATTGTTATTTTAATATTCATAAAATAGAAAAACAAATAAAAATTTAAAAATTGAACTGAAAATACATAAATATATTTATAATGCATAAAATAATAATAAATTGTTGATATATTCTTCTATTAAATAGATGACTTTAAAAGAAAAAGAATTGTTGAATATATTGATGAATTTTTTGTGGATAAATTTCTGGTTGATCATTAATAAAAATTTTTATTTTTTGTTTCCAATATGTTACTTATTTTTGTTTTTGATTTTAATAATTAGTTGAAAACTAAAATTAATTTTTCTTGCAAATTTCCGTTCTTTGATTAAAATAGATTATCAACAATATTATATCCCTATTTTATAAGCTATATTATGGTTTAATATTTAAATTTATTTTCACTGCTTATTTATTTTTACGTTCCTTTTTTTTTATGTATTGCTTATCTTATTTTTTTGATTAAAAGATTATATTTTATTTTTTTATTTTGATTTTTAAACTACAGTATTATTTATTTTTTTAAATTATCCAAATAGAAAAAATTTCAAAATCATAAAGAATAATAATTAATGCTGATTAATCTCCAAACGAAATCTATATCTAAATAAAATGCTTTTGATAAAATGTAAGTACAGAAGACTTAAATCTTTTCTCAATTATCTCCAATTAAATTTACAGTGCAAGATATGTCATTATTCTAGCAAAAAAATTCAACAATTTTTTTTAAAAAAAAAGAAAATCATTTTTAAAGTTCATTTTTCGTATGGTCATGCGATTTCAATAGTAGTTCTGACATTCAATTAAAAGAAAATAAAAATTTTAATTTTTGGTTTGTTACGAATTGTGAAAATCGGGCATTATATTTTTTTTTTTTCGAAAAAAATATTTTAAAAATATCCTAAACCATAGCGTATTTACATTAAAAAGGTGAAAAATAAATTTAAAATTTATTAGTAAAATATTATTATAAAAAGGACTTAAGATCATATGATGGCAGTAACTGTGGTTAAGAATAGTGATTAATTTAAAGTGAAAAAATTTAAGTGAAAATAATTAATATTTAGTATTTTACGAATTGTCATTTCAATAGTATTTTTTAAGAAAATAATATATTGTTCTGTTCAAAATTATAAATAAACTTTATTAATCAAGTTGTGATATATATTATACTATATATATTTTGAATTACCATTTATTTATTATTATAAATAAAGTCATTTTACATTTTTATATAATTAAATAAAATAATAATAATATTAGTAAAAATAAAAATAAATTAATAAAAAAATAATGGAGCAAATAAAAAATAATTTAATTAATGCATTTATTTGTATTTTTATATTTTCTATTCGTAAAAATCAATAATATTAAATTTATTTTTTATTCGCAAAAATCAATAGATTTAAATTTATTAAATTTTACTTATTTTTTTTTTTTTAGTCTGTAGAATAAGTAAATATCTATTAAAAATAACAAAATAACAAAGGTACAGAGAAATAAAATAAAGGAATAGTATTTGAGTAATTATTCGGAATATCATATTGAATTAAAAATTCTTTGATAACTTTAAAATGTTCATTATAGTATAAAATCATCCAATGTTAATAAACGTTTAAATGTAATCTCTTAAATTTATTTCCTCCTCTTTTAAAACAACACCTCTCAAAACACATTCTTAAATTATCAGCACTGAATATCCATGGATCATTATAATATATTCTAATTTCAATAATTTCAGGTGATTCTGGTCCATTCTTGTCCATTCGACACAATAATTCATTAGCATCGAATCCTTATTCTATGAAAATTTTCTTAATTCATTAAATATTGCTATGCCTTGTCCAGGACTTGAAATAATGTATAATTAATTCGGTAATCTTTGTGTAACAATTTAAAATTGCTGAAAATGTATCAAATGTAATTTGTGAATTTCTACAATAAATTTTCGAGGATACTGTGACGAAGTATATTCGTAATCATGCGGATTATCACGGGGATGGTAAATGATAACACTAAGATGATTGTGGTCATCCGAAAGATATTGCATGAGGATGAAGGATAACACATAAGGATGGTGGGTGAAATTTGAATGAAGGTGAAAAAGTATAAAAGATGTGGTCGTTGGAGACAGAAAACAGTAGTCTTAGTAGTTTCTTAGACGGCAGTTAAATAATAATTACAGATAGTTTTGAACATTAATATTGCTAAATAGAAAAGTAAACTTCCTTTAGGGACAGTAAAATAGGCAGTAACCCATCATTAAATGATACTTTACTTTTAAATTTGTACCTTTTATATTTTAATAAACTTATCTTTTGTGTTGCGATATTGCGAAATATTGTTAAATATTATTTGATATCGTGTTAACACTTTTACTTCACCTTACACACTGAGCCTTCAGATTAAAAATAAATAATTAAAAAGAATTATATTATATTTTATTATCTGTTTCGAGATAGGCAGTTAAATCGATTGTATTAGCTTGACTACTGGCAGATAGAGTGTATTAAAAAATTAGTTTGTGTAAGACAAACTCAGATTAGACTGATAGGTGAAAGTGTATGAAATACTCTGCACATTTGTGACAATACCTATCAAAATAATTCGAATGAAAATAATGAAAATTGCTTAATTGTGTAAATGATGATGAATCCAAGGATAAACATTTGGATTCATGCATCCAGTGGCATTCTTCAACATTAAGTTCTTGAAGTGAAATAATTTGTCCAAATGATAATGATTTCTCCTTGAAACTGTAAAAATTTACTGATTTTAAACAAGAACTCTTTAGTGTACTTTTTGACTAATGTTAGCCCGGAGTAATAAATCACGATCAAGATAAGTTCCACCAATAATTAATAGATTTTCTAACCGTTTTTGAGTAATAATAATTTCGATTGAGAATCTGAATTGAAAGACAAATCCATATTTAAATATTATCACAGAATTATGTTTAATGGTCCCCCATCAGATCATCTCTTCCTAGTTTCTTAAGTACTTTCGGGCAGCAGGTTACTTAAAAATATGAATTTCGTAATCATCATCACCATCATCATCATCCTGATCTGGACCAATAATTTGTTGTAAATACATTTTGAATAAATAAATTTCTAGCCTGAGTATTCATACATGATATAAATATATGTTCGAATACATAATGCTTTCTTCCTCAACTCATGGTCTGGACAATATTCTTGATCAATAATTAATTCCCAAAGTAAAGATATAATTGCTTTACACCAGATTCGATTAATTAATAATGATGGAAATAAATCTTGAGTGAACGAGATGATTGAACATTATTATCAATATTCCGTTTAAATTTTATTTGCCATTGCCATTATATTGAAGAAGAAAAAAATAAAAATTTAAAAAAATTCTTTGTAACTCCTCTACTCCGATGTAATTATTACCAAAATAATAATCTAATTGAATTCCATATTTTTCAATTACTTTAAAATGGTAATCACCCATTAGTTCCAATAGTGGTATTTGTTTATTTAAGATGCGTAATCCTCTTAATTTTTTATTTCCTCCTCCTCCTTTACAACAACGGATCCACCCTTTAAAAAATTCTCTTAAACTATCAGAACTAGATATCCATTGATTATAATAATCCATGTTAATTATTATAGTTTCCAGTGATTCTGGTACGTTCTCGACCATTTGGCATAATAATTCATTACATCAAACCTTATTTCTACACAATCAAATGAAAATCTTCTTAATTCATTAAAATTATTATTAAATATTGCTATTACTTGCGCGGGACTTGAATTATGTAAAGTTAACTCGGTAATCTTTGTACAATAATTTAAAATTGTTGAAAATATATCAAATGGAGTTATGGGATATAAACTTATATCGATATTTCTTAAATTTGCATTGGTTTTTACGAGAATTTTTGTAATAAAATTTCGGGAATATCTATTATCTTTATATATAAAATAAAACCTATTTAAATGAGTAAATGATGAAGCCAAGGTTAACCAATCCGATTTATGCAAACCATCACAACAATTAATATAAAGTTCTTGAAGTGAAATATTTTGTCCAACTCGTGATGATTTCCTCATGAAACTATAACAATTTACTGATTTTAAACGAAGACTTTTTAATGTTTCTTTTTGACTAATGTTATCCCATAATGATATATCTACAAATCATTGATAAATTTTCTAACCGTTTTGGAACACTAATAAGTTTCTTTAATTTTAATAATTCATTATTAGGATGACAATCCAAATACAAATCCATATTTAAAATATTATCACAAATTAATGTTAATGGTCTAATAAGCTCATCCTTTCTTCTTAATTTCTTCTGGGTACCAAGTAAATCAATATATTTAAAATAATTATTAAATGAAATATATTTGGGTTCCATCATTTTGAAAGAATCCAAAAATGTACAACGATTCAATATTAATTTGCATGTCTCACGAAATAATAATCTCGATTCGTTATTTTCAATGTTATTATGATTTGAACCAATAATTTCATGTGAATATATGGAAATAAATAAACTAAATGATAAATATGAAATTATGAGTGAATGATAGATAATCAAAAGTGGCTTGAGGTGGTGATGATTATAAATCAAACCCATTTTGAATAAGTAAATTTCTTGCTTTAGTATCCATACATAATAGATAAGTTCGAATACATAATGCTTTAATCCTCAAATTAGAATTATCGGCACGACATTCTTGACCCAAATTGAATTCCTAAAGTAAAGTATAGTAATTTTGCACCAGATTCGATTACTAATAATGATGAATATAAATCTTGAGTTGAACTAGATGACGATTGTAGATTATATAAAATTTTAATTAATATTTCTGTGGGAAATTTATTCGCCACCTTTTTTTTTTTTATTGAAGATGTAATGGGTACCAAATATATAATACACAAATATGCCACAACATAAATATTTATTAATGCCTACCAATCCAATCAATCCAATCAAAATATAAAAAAGTGAATTTTCTAATTTGTTAGTGTAAAATGAATAAAAATGAATTATGTATTTTTAATGTAGTTAAAATAAAATTAGAATCAGATTAGTGCTGATAGTTTAAGAAAATTTATTGAAGGGTGGTGTTAGAAAGTAAGAAATAAAAAGGCACGTACGATTTAGATTGAGTGATGAACATTTGACGTATTGGAGTTCAATATGATATGTGAAATAATATTTATTTATTCATCTAATATACTAAATATAACATTAAATCAGAAAACATATTTCATACTAAACAAGAAGTATTATATTGAGGGCTATAGTGGAAAGTTAAAATTTTTTCTTTACTTTTTTTTTATTACTATTGACATTATTGTATTTTATTCTTTTTATCTGTTAAATAATTCTACTTTTATCAAAAGTTTTATTACAATAAGATTATTTTTATTAATTCTGTTTTTTTCGTTTTTTTATAAGATATGTGATCAGTTTGTTGACAATTATAATTACTACAATTTTGTAGTTTAGAGTATACAAGTAATTCTCACAGAAACAGAATTAATTATTCTTTAGCTAAATTAATTAAATTCAAAAAGTTCAACAAATCAAAAAAGCCAGGTTCGATAATAAACACAAATGGAATCGTTAATAATGTAAGGGAACGCCAATTGTAATCAAAATCACAAGCAGGTGAATGTGAATAGAATAAATTGGAATTCCGCTCACCCTTACTGTATATTTATAGATATAAATTTTTTTAAATTCTATATTTGATCATTTGTTATTATTTTTTTACTATACTGTATATAGAAATAATTGATAATTATTTTCAGATTTTTTTTTTATTTTTTAATATTTTTAATAAATTTCGGTTCGTTCGTTTTTATTCACATCTAAGTAAAGTCAAAATTTTCATTAGATTTAACGGAATATGCTTCTAATTAAAATAATAAATATTATTTCTTACTACAATTTCGAATAAGATTGTTGGTATCTATCTTTAATGGCTAGTTATTTAAGATATCTATGAAAAAAAGGTGAAATAACTATTACATATAAACTAGAAAAAAAGATTTAAGTATTAAGTCCGGTATAGGCAACAATCAAAGTTTTAATTTAGAATTATTGTATTTTTAACAAAAAAAAAAAATTTTTTCATAATTTTTTTACTAACTTCTAGTTGTCTGATACCCCTCTCTATACACTTTATTTTCAATTAACTGTATTATTCGCTTATGCGTCAATTATAAAAGTTATATTGATTTTCAGTTTACCTTTGCACAATTTTGAAACTGCATATAAACACAAATAACAAATAATTCCAAATATTTGCATTTTTGAAATATCAAGCCAATAATGATTTATTTTAAATGATTATATACTGGTCTGCTTTAATATAAACAAAAGCTATACTTTATAATTCCAGTGATCAAATATAATAACAAAATATAAAATATAATAAAAAATGAATAAATAATTCTAGGGAAATACAAAAGTTGGACAATAACACAATGAATCAAGGTTAAAAAATAAATTTTCTAACAAATTAATGTTTAATTTTTGAGAGTTTCATTTCAATTTCTTCAACTATTCAAATTTAGAGATTGTTAATTTTATTTCGGATAAATTATTAAACAATTATTAAAAAAATAATTCATGAAATATAATACTCACTTATATCATTGGGAACTTCAAACCCCCATTGATTTGTATCTAAAGAATAATGAATGTAAATATTTTATATAAAATGTTCATTTTTGAATTGCCAAAAATATAGATAATTACCATGTGTAGTGTTTTCATATTTCTTTGATTTCAGAAAAGGTAAATGTCTGCTTGTATATATTGCATCAGGATGCATTTCATTTGAATCATATCGAATAAAATTCTTGTTTGATTTATTTGCTGTTTTAACTTGTTTGTTAACTTGTTTTCTCATTTCATTATCTGTAGAAAGGTATTTATCAAGTGTATTTAATTTCAGGTTTAAGCCCTTTACAAATGCTCATTGCAAGTTTTACATTATGTGGAATATTATGATATGGTGGATAATTAGTTAGAACTTCGCACATAACCATACCAAAATAATAAATGTCAGATGCTTGACTATATTCTCCATTACTCAATGTCTCAAGGGCCATGTATGTAATCACGCCATAAATCTTTTCTGGATCATTTTCTGTAACTGGTTTGCACAATCCAAAATCTGTAATATAACTTAAAGTAAAAGTTTGATTAACTATATTTCCAGAATGAAAATATTTATGCATTAAACCCATTTCATGAATATTTTTAAGTCTATTTACAATATTTGATAAAATATTGTATTTTTTCCTACAAGTTAATTCTTTAAAATTGCTATTTAGCAGTTTTCGAAGACTACCATGTTTTGCATAGTCCATAACCATCATATATTCGTTTTTTGTTGAATTTCTAGTGATGCCATATATTGCAACTGCATTTTTACCTCGAAATTTAAGCTTATTTTTAATCTAAAAAATTTTTAACATGAAATATAATTATTATATATTTAAAATAAAAAAACCAATATTATGAAATTTTTACCTCTTGCAAAAAATTATTTTTAGTTAAGGTTGAGGAATAATCAAGACTTTTTAAGCAAACATCTGTTTTTTCAGATCTGTTCTAATTTTTTACTTTATTATTCCAATCACAAACAGGCCTATCAAGCCATTTTGCTTTGTATACTGTGCCAAAACCACCTTTAGCAAGTTATATGAAATTCTCAAGTTTATCAAAAGGAATCGCTCAATAATTTCTCGATATTTAATTGCCTTTAGTTGTATTTGTTGGATAAATTTATCAATTTCTTTATCTTCACTTGTCCATTTATCAAATTCATTTTGAAATTGTTTGGCTCTACACCCATTATTGATGATTAATTATATGATATTGAATAAATTGAGACATTGATTTCAATAATTAAGAATCAAAATACTCACAAACTGTAATATAATTTATATTAATTAGGTTATAATCGATTAGAGAATTGTAATATGATTATTGAATTAAATTGAAACATTGATTTCAATAAATATGAATCTAAAATACTCACTCGCTTTAATATAATTTATATTGATTAGTTTATAATTGATTAGAGAAATTTTATATGATATTGATTAAATTGAAACATTGATTTAATAATTATGAATTTAAAACTTTATTGTCGCTAAAACAAAAGTTAAAAACTTAGAAATTTTTTAGAAATTTTTCAGGAACTTTCGTCATTTTAAAAGAATTTAAAAATAAGCAATGATTTATTAATAATTTACATCTCGATTCAGTGGAGATTATTTCGTTATTTTTATTATAGTTATTATATTGGTTAACTTGATAATTATTTGTGAAGATATGTATGGAGCCAAATTATTGATTCTAAATTTATGAGTGAATGATGGACAATCATGATGAGTGTATCTAGAAATGTGAAATAAATTAATAAAGAGATTATTTTTATATTCCAATAAATTATATTAATCAGTAAAAAATTGATTATTTAATTAATTTTAAAAGTCAAGGTGATTTTCTAATGATTAGAGAATATATTAAATTAAATTAATTAACGACTTATTCTTATCTAAAATTAATTTAATTTAATTAGTAAAGATAGAGAGTTTGAAGATTTAGATAACTTATTTCAAACAATAAACATTATTGTAACAGCTGAGATCTCTGTAAATATATAATCCATTTATATTTTTTAAATGAAAATTATTTATTAAAAAATCATAAAAAATCCATTTGGGAATTTAACAGTCTTTAATAATTATTGTATAAAAATTGAAATAGATTTTTTATGTATTCCAATAATTGATGAGTAAGTATTATCAAGTAATCGATTATAATAATTATTTTTTATTTATTTTTTTCCTTTTATTTTTTTTTTTGTTTAATGTAATTAAATAAATTATTCTTAAATGCATTTAAATATTTGGTAATTCAAAATCGTAAAATAAACATGGAAATTAAAAATTCAAGCTCAAAAATGATTCCTGACCATGAAATTCTTGTTTGTTATATTACATTCGAAGATATACGACGAAACAAAAAATAAATAAAATAAATAAATATCTTGATATTTTGATAAATTTAAAAATTTAAGCTATAAAATGATAAAATCGTATAAAACTATACTTCAATATTTTTTTTATGTTAAATTCCAAAAATTATAAACAAACGTAAAAAAATTATAAATACTCAACATAACTAAATGTTATTATTCTATATCAATTGAATTCCATATTCCTCAATAACTTTCAAATGTTCATCACTTAATACTGGACGTTTTACAGTCATCTTTTTATTTCCTCCCATTCCTTTACAACACCATCCTTCAAAAAATTTTCTTAAACTATCAGCACTAAATATTCCCATTTTAATTCGTATAGTTTCAAGTGATTCTGGTACGTTTTCGGCCATTTGACATAATAATTTATTAGCATCCAATTTTTTTACACATTCAAATGAAAACCTCCTTAATTCATTAAAATTATTGTCAAATATTAATATTACTTGTTCAGAACTTAAATTATATAAAGTTAATTCCGTAATCTTCGTACAATAATTTAAAATTGTTGAAAATATATCAGATGGAATTGTTTGATATAAATCAAGACCAATATATTTTAAATTTGCATCGGCCGTTACGAGAATTTTTATAATAAATTCTTGAGGACACGTATAAAAAAGATTCTTCAAATGAAATCTACTTAATTGAGTAAATAATGAAGCAAAAATTAAGAACTCCGATTTATGTAATCCATCACATTCTTCAATATAAAGTTCTTTAAGTGAAGCAAATTGTTCAATTGGTGATGATTTTTCCACAAAATTATTAAAATTTACTGATTTCAAACGAAGACTCTTTAATGTTTTTTGATTAATGATAACCCATAATAATGAATTAGAATTTATATAACCATTATCAGTAATTGATAGATTTTCTATCCGCTTTTGAGCACTAATAAGTTTTTCTAATAATTGCACTTGAGATTCTGACTTAAATTCCAAATCCATATTTAAAATATTATCACAAATCAATGCTAATGATTTGTATAATGGTCCGATTAAGTCATCGTTTTTCGTCTCCGAAACAAACGTTTCTAATTTCTTAAATACTCTTGAGGCCCCCGGTAACTTGAGGATTGAATCAATTAAATCGCTATTTAGAAAATTTTTTAAAAAAATTTCTGGAACATTCGTCATTTTAAAAGAATCCAAAGATGTGCAACGATTTATTATTAATTTACAAATCTCATGAAATAATATTCTTGATTTTATGGTGATGATGGGTTTGTTATTATTATTATTATAGTTATTAACTTGATCTGAACCAATAATTTTTTGTGAATAGACGGAAATAAAATATGCGAAATTTTCAACTCTAAATTCATGAGTGAATGATGGATAATCAAAAGTAGCTTGAGGTGGTGATGATGATAAATCAAATCCATTTTGAATAAGTAAAGTTCTCGATTGATTATCCATGCATGATATATAGGTTCGAATAAATAATGCATTCTTCCTTATCTTCTTATAATTCATCTTATCAAGGTCTTGACACAAAATTAATTCCCAAAGTATAGGTATAGTAACTTTACACCAGAGTCTATTGACTAATAAGGATGAATATAAATCTTGAGTTGATTGAACATTGTTTAATATTATAATTAATAGTTCTATGAAAATTTTAGTCGCCATTTGTCTGAGAAATAGAAAATTTTAAGAATAAATTTTTTAAAAAATAATCGTACCACACTTGTAAAACATTTATGATGCAGTGATCGCCCAAATTTTTTCACCCCGGCATGTTAGGGTTTGTCACGGGTAGTATATTCGTTACCGTGTGTCACACCGTTTGCATATCAATTTTTATTAAATATCCTGGAGACAGAGAATTTTTGATTGTGAAAACCATATTTATCACCCGATATTTGTCACATTTTCTGATCACCTGTTTTGATTTCGGATTTACAAATTGGAAAAACTTCTGGTTTGATACTGGGGTAGTTCAATGCAGTGTTTAACTACTCGTGTTACCAAAATAAAATCACAACATAATTAAAATAATAATTGAAATAATTAATAAAATAATTATTACTTATTTCCTTTTCGGGAAAAGAATACATTTTCCTATTAATGTTCTTTTTGTTCAGCGGGATTTTATTGCTAATAAGGATTAAATAAAGAAAGGTGATTTGAATTCACTAAAATTCATATTAAAGTTTACTCAATACTATCAATTTTAGGTAAATCTAAATAAACTTATCAATTGAGTACTAATAATTCAAGAAAATATTAAGATTCTTAATGTTTAATTAATCGATTGGCCAACATAAAAGTAGCTATTGATGCAGATATTTTAGCCAGAAAATTGATACCATATCCATGAAATTTTCTATAATCGATTTTGAAAAGAAAGAGATTGAAGCATTGGAGGAAGAGGTGTAATTATCAAAGATTTATTCTCAAGATTAAAGAGAGATTTTAAATTATCGATAAGAGATAATTTTGTATTCACCACTAAACTCGTTCGAGGCCTTATTCGGTGAGAGAAAGATTGATGATGTTGTTAAGTAAATTATATAAAAGAAATGAAAATTTGAATAAAAATAATTTATTGACGCTTTTATTCTTCACAAATCAAGAATTGATGGAATTTATGCAAATTTTGAGTCATGAATCTCGGCAATTATTCGGTAATTATTAATATTCATATATTTGATCGTGATTAATTTAATATGATTTAACTTAACAGTTAGAAACCAATATTTATTGTGACGAATTTTTAAATAAATCGTATATTTCCAATGAGATAAAGATGTATTTTAACACAAATTCAAATCCAAATTTAATTACATAACATTGATTTCACACGATGAATGTTTGTGAACACGATTCATGCAACCTCAACCCAATCCAAAAAAAAATAAGTTTTATTGATAAAAAGTAATTATTTTTACACTGGAAGAAATATTTTGTTTTTCTTTAACTATTATATCACATTAATGATAATTTCTTCGAATAATTCATTTGCATCTACATTTTCGTTTTCCTTTGCGTTATTCAACCAGTAGATAACATTTATAATATCTTTCTTAGTTTCACGCCCTTCATAAAAGAATTTTCCAAACCTGTATTGGCTATTAGCATCATCATTTTCTGTACCTTTTTTAAATCATTCAAAATGCTTTCACTAGATCATTATTAATTCCATACGTTAAATTTAATGATCTGATTATGAATAAGAATATTTTCAGAATTCTAATTAAATAATTTTTTAAAAAAAAAGATTAAAAATAATTCATTTATAAAATTCATTTTTTAAAGAAAATATTTTAAAAAATAATTACCAATCTTACATGAATGATATCATTAGAATACAACACATTTGCGAGATTTAATTATGTATTCCAATCCAATTTTTAGAAATTGGTTTTCAAATATTTACCTTTATTAACATATTCGAAGATAATAATATTTTCTCTATAAAATAAAGACAATTAAATAAATAAAATAAATAAGCGAGTAATTAAAAATATCCAATAAATAAAATAAAATAAACTAAAATAAATAAGCGAGGAATTAACAATATCCAAATAAATTTTTTTATCTTGCTTAGTAATGTCATAGAATTTCAGAATATTATGAATTGAAATTTTCGATGTCTTTTAATCTTTTTGATTTAAGATTTAAAAAATATAATAATTATAACTGTAAGAATATTGAAAGGTAAATTCAAATTTTATTACTAATCTTCAGGAAATTTTATTAGGTGAAAATTTTCGCTTAATAAAATTTTCTGATGTAGAACAAAATAAACAATTTAATTTGTTATACTGTATATCATTTATTAAATTATCCAGATTATCATTTAAACAAGTGGTCTAGATTAGGCGCGCTTTGCGCTTATGATATTTAATTTAAATTCTATTTCTTCAATTATCCTGCTTTTGAAAGATTAATTTAAAAGCGAAGCAATCTTTATATTATATTTGTGCAAAATATTAAAGAACAAAAATCATAAACCAGATGGAAGTTTAATTTATACACAATTTTTCAGTGAATTTTAATTTTCACCAATCCAATTCAACTTTCTATATCTATACTGAATATTTAAAAACAGAAAAGACTCCGATAATTTTTATTTTGTGCTAATTAATGTAAATGATTATGTATTTACAGAGATCTCAGCTATTTAAGACTTCAAACTCTCTTATCAGAAATTAATTTTAATTTAATTAATAAGTTGTTAATTAATTCTTTAGAACTTTTCTTGATCTTTAAATAACAATTAATATTTATAGATTAAATGAAATTGGTTAAAACTTCATATTCTCGTTCATATTCTTCTCTAAATAATTTAGCTTATTTATTAAAGTATAAGTTAATTAAATAAATTTATTCAATAAATTAACGATATTAAGATGCAACTTTAGTGAGTCTATTTGGATATAATTAAATACTATGAAGAACTTCTTTCTTTTGAAGAAAGTTTTTCATTTTCATATTAACTTGCTTTTCATTTTAATAATCAAAAATTACTGTATATTTATGAATAATAAATTGTGCATAGGAAAGTGAGAAAAATGCGTATATCTTCGTTTTTATGAAAAATACATGAACACATTTTACGCAACATTTTGAAAATTTTACGTAAAATATTATTGCAAAATTTTTTTTTGAAAAATTGCGTATTATTTGTAAATATGCGCAATGTCTAAATTACATTTCGAAAAATTTTCGAATCTCCGTAGATTTTGTAATTTTCCAAAAAAAATTGCGTAATATTATGTATAATAGATTTCGGATATTATTTATTTAATTTATTTAATTGTTCTTCATTATTTACACAATTTGTTTATTGCTATTGTTATTTTATTATTATTATTTTATTATTTGAATTTTATGAATTAAATATTTACCACTATTATCTTTACCTTTTGTTCGACGGTCAATTAATTATCTTATTTACTAAATACTTAAATTTAACAATTCAATGTTACTTCATTTCTCAATTTTTAGTGTGCGCTGTCTCCATTTATAGTTATCAATGTATTACACACGTGTTATTATAACCATAGCCAGTCCTGTGTTTCTTCCATTTATATGTACGTCTGGTTTCCTTTCATTTTTTGAAAAAAAAATACATACAAATAATATGAAATAGATCATTTGAAAAAAATCCGCGATAAAAGATATATATGAAAGTTTAAAAAAAAAAAGCACCTGAACCACTAACTATTTCTAGACCACAGCGAAATAGTAATAATTTCTTATAAACTATTTGAACTTTGGAGGTAATTTCTCTTGAGTAATATATAAATATGACAAACAGTATTTCAAGACTCAAAAAAAATTCCGTCTCTAAAAATATAATGAAAATCGATAACAACACTAATGGTACAATACAAACTGATCACAAGTAACACAAACTCTCAACCCTATTTCTTCGTGCATATTATTGTATAACCATGAGTGGATACACTGCATTGAATTAAATATGGTACGATTATTTTTTTTAAAAAAAGTTTCTATCTCTTAGACAAAAAAATGGCAACTAAAATTCCCACAGAAATATTAATTAAAATTTTAAATAATAATGCCAAATCATCTCATGATTTATATTCATCCTTATTAGTTAATCGATTCTGGTGTAAAGTTACTATACCGATACTTTGGAAATTACCTTTGGGTCAAAAATATCATCAGGTGGGTCAGCCGTGGAAGCTAAAATGGTCGGAGAAGGTGTGGAAGAAAGCATTATGTATTCGAACCTATATATCATGTATGGATACTCAAGCTAGAACTTTACTCACTCAAAATGGATTTGATTTATCATTATCACCACCTCAAGCCACTTTTGATTATCCATCGTTCACTCATAAATTTAGATTTTATAATTTAGCAAATTTTATTTACTATTCACGAAAAATTATTGGTTCAGATAATGCCATCATCAAATCACGATTATTATTTCGTGAGATATGTAAATTAATAATAAATCGTAGCACATTTTTGAATTCTTTTAAAATTCAGATAGTTCGCGAATATCATTGTCAAGAAATTCTAAATAGTGATTTAATCAGTTCAATTATGAAGTTACCTGGTGTTCCGAAAGTATTTAAGAAATTAGAAACATTTATTTCGGCGACAAGAAGGCATGAACTAACTACACCAGTATATGAATCATTTGCACTAATTTGTGATAATATTTTAAATATGAATTTGACATTTTATTCATATTCTCAAGTGCAATTATTAGAAAAACTTATTAGTGTCCAAAAACGGTTAGAAAATCTATCGATTATTAATCATAGTCGTAGGGATAATAATTTTAATTTTAATTCATTATTATGGGCTATTATCAGTCAAAAAGAAACCTTAAAGAGTCTTCGTTTAAAATCAGTAAATTTTTACCATTTCAAGGGGAAATCATTACCAATTGGACTTCAAGAACTTCAAATTGAATCGTGTTCAGGATTGTACAAATTGGATTGCTTAATTTTAGCTTCATCATTTACTCAATTAAGTAGTTTTCGTTTGAGGCATCGTTTTCAGCATAGTTATGGTGTGTATCCTCAAGAATTTATTATAAAAATTCTCGAAACGGCCAATAAAAATTTAAAAAATATTTTTCTAGAGTCAAATGGTAAAATTCTATCGGACAATATGCTTTCAGTAATTTTAAATTATTGTACGAAGGTTACAAAATTAACTTTACCAAGGTTAAATCTTGAACAAGTTATAGCAATATTTAATAATAATTTTAACGAATTAAGAAGCTTTTCATTTATTTATGGAAAAGAATCGGATGCTAATAAATTATTATGCCAAATAGCCGAAAGTATACCCGAATCACTTGAAACTATTGAAATTAGAATGGGAATATTTAGTGGTGATAGTTTAAGAAAATTTTTTGAAGGGTGGTGTTGTAATGGAGGTGGAGGAAATAAAAAGATGATTGTACAACATTCAGCAATAAGTGATGAACATTGGAAAGTTATTGAGGAATATCAATATCGAGTTCAATTTGAAATGTTGAATTATGGGTTTTATTGAATTATTGATAATTTTTTTATGAATATTGAATACATTAAAAATACTATGTATTGAAAATCATTACGTATATGAAAATTATGCAATCTTAGATAATATTTTAGTGAATGAAAAAATTTATTGATATATTTACATAAGATTTTATCAGCAATTTTTAAATTTATTAAAATATCATATTGATTTCTCGCTAGTTTTAGATCAACTTTAATATTTTTCATTTTAACTTTAAAATATTAATAATTATTATAATAATATCAACATAATGTTTAAGATATTTATTTGCATTTTGTTTCGTTCTTTCTCTTGTAATTTATTTTATATGAGAAAATAAACAAGAATTCTGGATCAGAATTATTTTATGATCTCGAATTTTTGGTTGCCATTGTATGTTTTGCGATTTAGTAATATTTAAGTTCGTTAAACAAAAAATATCAAGAAAAATTTTTTTAAAAAATAACTAAGTTATAAAAAATAATCAAATTACAAATTATCATCTGATCTAATAATTAGAATGCATAAAAATAGTTACAATAATTGTTATATAAAGACTGTTAAATTCCCAAATGGATTTTTTTTGATTTTTTTAATGAATAATTTTCATTTAAAGATACAAATAATTATGTATTTACAGAGATCTCGGCTATTTAAAGTTTCAAACTCTATTATCTTTAATTTAATGAATAAATTCGTTAATTAATTTAATTTAAATCATTAGAATATTACCTTGACCTTTAAATGACGAATGATGATGACCATTGTAATCAACTTTATCTCCTCCTTTAACAGGAAGTTTAGATGAAAATTTATCCAACAATGAACTTAAATTATTTATGATGGTGTATTATCAATATTAAACAGCATAATTCTCATAATAAAAATAATAAAAATAAAATATAACAACAATAAGATATTTCCTATTTAACTTTTGTTAATTATTTTATGGAAAAATTATAAAGTTTATTGTTAAGATATTTATTTATACTTAGTAAAATATATTAAAATATCAATTGAATCTAATGTATGGTCTTAACCTGAAAGAAGAAGATTTACCAAAGGCCCATACAAAAGTATTAATGAGTATTGTGAAAAGTAATTTTGAAAAAAATGATAAAAATATCACAAGTATATTAATTATCAATATTCAGTGCAGGTCACTTGATTTACTTATCTCTTATTATTATAACCAGTGTTACTAGAGGTTCTTCCATTTATATACACATTTGATTTCCTTTCATTAGTTGAAAAAAAATGCATTGGTAGCGTTCAGACAAAATAATAAAAATAGATCCTTGAAAATAATCCACGATAAAAGAATATGAAAGTTTAAAACAAAAGCACCCTAAGCACAACTATTTCTAGACCACAAAAATAGTAATAATTTCTTATAAATTATTTGAACATTGGGATAATTTCTCTTGGATGATATATAAATATGTTAAAAGTATTTCAAGACCCAAAAATATAATAGATGTTGATAGTAAAATGTAACAACACTAATAATACAACACTAACTGAGCACAAGTAACACAAACTCTAAACCCTATTTCTTTGTGCATATTATTGTATAAACATGAGTAGCTGCACACTGCATACACTACATTGAATTAAATGTGGTACGATATTTTTTTTTAAATTTACTCTTCATTTTTTTTAAAAGTTTCTATTTCTCAGACAAAAAAAAATGGCAACTAAGATTCCCACAGAAATATTAATTAAAATTTTAAATAATAATGCCAAATCATCTCATGATTTATATTCATCCTTATTAGTTAATCGATTCTGGTGTAAAGTTACTATACCGATACTTTGGAAATTACCTTTGGGTCAAAAATATCATCAGGTGGGTCAGCCGTGGAAGCTAAAATGGTCGGAGAAGGTGTGGAAGAAAGCATTATGTATTCGAACCTATATATCATGTATGGATACTCAAGCTAGAACTTTACTCACTCAAAATGGATTTGATTTATCATTATCACCACCTCAAGCCACTTTTGATTATCCATCGTTCACTCATAAATTTAGATTTTATAATTTAGCAAATTTTATTTACTATTCACGAAAAATTATTGGTTCAGATAATGCCATCATCAAATCACGATTATTATTTCGTGAGATATGTAAATTAATAATAAATCGTAGCACATTTTTGAATTCTTTTAAAATTCAGATAGTTCGCGAATATCATTGTCAAGAAATTCTAAATAGTGATTTAATCAGTTCAATTATGAAGTTACCTGGTGTTCCGAAAGTATTTAAGAAATTAGAAACATTTATTTCGGCGACAAGAAGGCATGAACTAACTACACCAGTATATGAATCATTTGCACTAATTTGTGATAATATTTTAAATATGAATTTGACATTTTATTCATATTCTCAAGTGCAATTATTAGAAAAACTTATTAGTGTCCAAAAACGGTTAGAAAATCTATCGATTATTAATCATAGTCGTAGGGATAATAATTTTAATTTTAATTCATTATTATGGGCTATTATCAGTCAAAAAGAAACCTTAAAGAGTCTTCGTTTAAAATCAGTAAATTTTTACCATTTCAAGGGGAAATCATCACCAATTGGACTTCAAGAACTTCATATTGAATCGTGTTCTCGATTGTACAAATTGGATTGCTTAATTTTAGCTTCATCATTTACTCAATTAAGCAGTTTTCGTTTGAGGAATCGTTTTCAGCATAGTTATGGTGTGTATCATCAAGAATTTATTATAAAAATTCTCGAAACGGCCAATAAAAATTTAAAAAATATTTGTCTAGAGTTAAATGGTAAAATTCTAACTGATAATATACTTTCAGTAATTTTAAATTATTGTACGAAGGTTACAAAATTAAATTTACCAAGGTTAAATCTTGAACAAGTTATAGCAATATTTAATAATAATTTTAACGAATTAAGAAGCTTTTCATTCATTTATGGAAAAGAATCGGATGCTAATAAATTATTGTGCCAAATAGCCGAAAGTGTACCCGAATCACTTGAAACTATTGAAATTAAAATGGGAATGTTTAGTGCTGACAGTTTAAGAAAATTTTTTGAAGGGTGGTGTCGTAAAGGAGGAGAAAATAAAAAGATGGTTGTACAGCGTTCAGTAATAAGTGATGAACATTGGAAAGTTATTGAGGAATATCGAGTCCAATTTGATATGTTGAATTATGGGTTTTATTGAATTATTGATTATTTTTTTACGTTGAATGTATGAATATTTAAAAATTTATTAATTTAGTTTCATAAGATTTTTAATTAATTATATCACATTGTTAGCATTTAAATTAATTTAACTAATTTAACATTAAAGTTAATTAAAAACTAATATTTGTCATTTAACGTTAAAATATAATGATTAACATAATGTTTAAGATATTTATTTGCAATTTGTTTCGTTCTTTCTCTTGTAATTTATTTGATATAATATAACAAACAGGAATTTCGGATTAGGATTAGTTTAGGATCTCGAATTTTTAGTCGTTGTATGTTTTGCAATTTAGAAATACTAAATATTAAGAGCCATTCATTTAGGTTCGTTTAGACAAAAAAAAAATCAAAAGAAAAATCGAAAAAAAAAATTAAATAAGATATGAAAAATAATTAAATACGAATTATAATCCGATATAATTATTAGAATGCTTAAATAATTACAGTAATTATTATATAAAGACCTTTTAACTCCTAAATGGATTTTTTTTTGATTTTTTTAATGAATAATTTTCATTTAAAGATCTATAATGACCATAATAATTGTAGTTGTTCAATATTCTTTTCATTTTCTTTTACGAACACCAACGAGATAATACTCTATCGAGATTTTTTTTAAAATATATTTTAATTAAATCATAAATTGAAATTTTCTATATTCTCATAAATTACTTTCTGCATCATTCCATTTAAAATTTTTAATAAATTTCATAAACATATTCATCTTTATCATAATCATCACTCTTTCATAATCATCACTCTTATTTTAGCTTTCTCTTCTCAAAACTCTTTGAAGTCACTTTTATTTATCTACAATATAAAAAAATAATATATCACCAGAATTTATATTCCTTTCCTTCATGTCATCACCATCTTCATCGTTGCTGTTGTCGACGTCATTGTCATCGTCATTACAGTATAATTGACCTCAACTTTCACCATCAACGTAGAGAACATGGACGATCAAAAATTCTTAGACCTACGCCCATTTAACATGAACTTGTAAATTTCTTCAGTCTGTTATTGATGAAAAATCCGATGGATTCATTTGTAACCTATTAAGTAGTGATGATAATGAGCATTGTCATCAATTTTATCTCCTCCTTTAACAGAAAGTTCAGATAGAAAATTAATCCAACGATGAATTTAAATTATTAGCAATAAATGGAATAAATGGATTATTAATATTACACAATTCTATAATAAAATAATAAAAAGAATAACAATAACATGCAATATGTATTCAATAAAATTACAAATTATCAAATAAATTTATTGTATCCGAAATGCGGCAAATTATACTACAAGGCAAATATAAATTTTTTCCTATTTAACTTTTTTGTTCCTAGTTAACAGAGAAATTACAATTTTCATTGTTAATATATTTATTTATACTTAGGAAAATACATTAAAATAGTTAATTGAATGAAAGGAGAAGATTTACCAAGGGTCTATACCAAAGTATCAATCGGTATTGTGAAAGATAATGTCACAAGTAAATTAATGATCAAAAATTGAGGTTACTTTATTACAACCAGTGTTATTCGAGGCTCCTCCATTTACATACCTGATTTCCTTTCATTCGTTGAAAAAAGATTAAGTAGATATAACAATTGAAATAATATAAAATAGATCACTTGAAACTAAAAGAATGTGAAAGACTAAAAATAAAAGCATAACCATTATCTATTTTTACAGAAGAGTAATAGATTCCTTAATCACTAAACAATTATAAATTATTTTGAACATTTCCCTTGGGTGATATATAAAAGTGAAAATGATGTTTCAAGACGCAAAAAATTGTCCCAAAAAATTAGGATAGTAAAATGCAACTGATCACAAGTGACACTATGGATGTGAAAAACCCTCCGGTTATTTCTTTTATTATGATAATTACATATCAATTCACTTGAAACAATTATGACCCATGGATATTTTAGTGCAGATAGTTAAAAAATTTTTAGAATGGATGAAATTATAAACTTAGGAGATTATCTAAAGATTTATTATCACCAAATTTGTAGCAATAAGTAGCGAACTTCAATAACGTTAAAATTCCAAATAATATATTTCATTTATTATTTTTTGTATCATCACACAGATTCTATAATTACTAAATTAGTATGTTGTGTGTATTGGTCTAAAAAAATCGGCTTATATTTTAAAATCGACTTAGCCAGCTAAAGCTAAAATTTCTAAATATTGATATAGAAATAAAATTGTGAGCATGTAAAAGTTGATTTAAAAAAATTAAATATCAGCTAAAAAGATTACCCCATATGGTCTAATTCTCAAAAATCAGCTGACTAAGTTGGCTAACGAACTTTATTATTTTGGTAATCATGAGTAGTTACGCTGCATTGAATGATTATATAAATATGGTACAATTATTTTTTTTTAACTTTACTCTTTATTTTTTTTCATAAAATTTTCTATTTCTTAGACAAAAAAATGGCAGCTAAATTTCCACAGAAGTATTAAATATAATTTTGGGCAATGTTCAATCAACTCAAGATTTATATTCCTCCTTATTAGTTAATCGAATCTGGTGTAAAGTCACTATATCTATACTTTGGGAATCAGCTTTGGATCAAGAATGTTATGGAGTAAGTTATTATGAGTCGAAGAAGAAAGCATTATGTATTCGAACCTATATATCATGTATGGACACTCAAGCTAGAACTTTACTTACTCAAAATGGATATGATTTATCATCATAACCACCTCGAGCCACTTTTGATTATCTATCATTCACTCATAAATTTAGAATTGATAATTTAGATTATTTTATCTCCGAATATTCGCAAGAAAATATTTGTTCAAATCAAGATAATAACTATCAAGCACATCATCACCACAAATCAAGAATATCAAGAATACTATCTCATGAGATATGTAAATTAATAATAAATCGTTATACATTTTTGGATTATTTTGAATATTGTAAAAAAAATTATAAATAGTGATTTAATTGGTTCAATTCTCGAGTTACCTGGTGCCCTGAAAGTATTTAAGAATTTAGAAACATTTGTTTCGACGGCAAGAAATGAAGAACTAACTAAATATGGATTTAATATTTCATTCATATTCTCAAGTGCAAATATTAGAAAAACTTATTAGTGTCCAAAAACGGTTAGAAAATCTATCGATTGTTAATCATGGTCGTGAGAATAAAAAATTTAATTTTAATTCATTATTATGGGCTATTGTCAGTCAAAAAGAAACATTACAGTAAAGAGTCTTCATTTAAAATCAGTAAATTTTTGTCATTTCGAGGGGAAACATCATCAATTGGACAATTTACTTCACTTCAAGAACTTTACATTGAAGATTGTGATGGGTTATTTAAATTGGGTTGTTTATATTTTGCTTCATCATTTACTCTAAGTAGTTTTCGTCCAAGTTATCGATTTATCGAGTATCCTCAAGAATTCATTGTAAAAATTCTCGTAACAGCCAATACAAATTTAAAAGAAATTTGTCTTGATTTTTATCCCACTATTTCATCCGATATATTTTCTGCCGTCTTAAATATGGTAAAGTTAATTTGGTAATCTTTGAAAAATAATTTAAATCCTGAACAAGTAATAGCAATATTTAACAATAATTTTAATGAATTAATGAGGAGATTTTCATTTGGTAACGAAAAAGAATCGGGTGAAAATAATTCATTATGTCAAATGGCCGAAAATATGCCAAATTCACTTGAAACTGTTGAAATTATAATGTGCATGTTTAGTGCTGATAGTTTAAGAAAATTTTTTGAAGGGTGGTGTTGTAAAGGAGGGGGAGGAAATAAAAATATGATTATAAAATGTCTGGAGTCACGATCATTAAATTATGAACATTGGAGAGTTATTGAAGAATATGGAGTTCAATTTTATATAGAATATATAGAATATTAATATTCCAAATAATATTTTAAATAATATTTTAAATACCATATATATTTGGAGAATATTATTTTGTTACGTTGAATATAAGAATGTTGAATATTAAAAATACTAGTACTAAAAATAAGTCTTATATGAAGTCTATGCATTTTTAGATAATATTTTTGTTAATGAAAAAAATTTATTAAGAAATACAATTTCATTTGATTTTATCATTTTATTGCTTAAATTTTTGTTTTTATTAAAATGTCATATTGATTTTCTCATTAAAATTAAATCGACATTAAATTAATTAATTTAATGTTAAAGTTAATTAAAAATAATATTTGTCATTAATAATTATTTTAATGATATAAACATAATAATTAAGATATCTTATATTTGTTTCGTTGCTTCGCTGTTTCTCTTGTAATTTATTTGATATGATAGAAAAAACAAGAATTCAGGGGCAGGATTACTTTGTGAACCTGAATTTTTAGTTTGCCATTGTATATTTTACAATTTAGAAATACTAAAAATTTATGTGCGTTTAAGAAAAATTTGTTTAAATACGTTAAGCAAAAAAAAAAAATAATAAAATGGAAAATCGAATAAAAAATATATAAAAAACAATTAAATTACAGATTATAATCGAGTACTTGATTAGAACATACTCGTCATCTGAACTGATTATTAAATGAATAAAATTTAATTCATAATTGTAAAATAATTAATAGCTATAAGTATTATTAAAGACTGTTAAATTCCCAAATGGGGGTTTTTTTTTTATTTTTCAATGATTAATTTTCATTTAAAAAATATAATATAAATGAATTAAATGTTTACAGAGATCTCAGTATTAATAATAATATTTTTGTTTGAAATAATTTATTTAAAACTTCAAACTCTCTATCATATTCTTATCTAAAATTAATTTTTAATTTAATTAATAAATTCGTTTATTGACTTGATTTAATCAACAAATTCGTTTATTAATTTAATTTAATTTTTCGCTAATTACCTTGATCTTTAAATTAATTAATATTTATTGTTTAAATGAAATTAATTAAAACTCCATATTTTCGATCATATTCGTTAAATAATTTAGCTAATTTATTAAAGTATAAATTATTTAATTTAATTTATTGAATAAATTAACAATTTTAAGTTGTAACTTTAGTGAACCTATTTGGTATTTGAAAATTTAATATGATTTATTTAATAAAATATTGCTCAGAACTTTTTTTTTTTTTGAAGAAAGTCTTCATTTTTCATATTATATTGCTTTTTCATTTCTATTATTTAATAATTTAAAAATATACTGTATATTTTAATATATATCACTTTATTCTTAATTTTTACTAAAAATTATGACCATTAAATTATTTCATAATGAAATAAATTTTTATACCTCTATTAATTATTTTTTATATCTTATTTATTTATTTTTCTTATTTTGTTTATCATTATATTCTTTTGAAAAAAAATTTGATAATTTAGATCGGCTATGTATGTTTTTATAATTCCAATTTTAAAAATAATGGCTGAATGTGCATTAAATATTATGAATCCTATTTTAGAAGGAACATTGCAAAAAATTAATCGATATTGATACACCGCATTACTGATACACCGCATTGAATTAAATGTGGTACGATTATTATTTTTTTTTAAATTTACTCCCTATTTTTTCCTTAAAATTTAATTTCCATCTCTCAGACAAAAAAAAATGGCAACTAAAATTCCCACAGAAATATTAATTAAAATTTTAAATAATAATGTTCAATCATCTCATGATTTATATTCCTCCTTATTAGTTAATCGAACCTGGTGTAAGGTTACTATACCTATACTTTGGGAATTACCTTTGGGTCAAAAATATCTTCGGTCGGAGAAGTTGATGAATAATGCATTATGTATTCGAACCTATATATCATGTATGGATACTCAAGCTAGAACTTTACTTACTCAAAATGGATTTGATTTATCATTATCACCACCTCAAACTACTTTTGATTATCCATCATTCACTCGTAGATTTAGAATTGATAATTTAGCTTATTATGTCTTCTATTCACAAAAAATTATTGGTTCAGATAATGACATCACCAAATCAAGAATATTGTTTCGCGAGATATGTAAATTAATAATAAATCGTTGCACATTTTTGGATTCTTTTAAAATTACGGAAGTTCACGGATATTTTTGTAAAAAATTTCTAAATAGTGATTTAATTGGAACAATTATCAAGTTACCTGGTGCTTCGAAAGTATTTAAGAAATTAGAAACATTTGTTTCGGTGGCATGTGATGATGAACTAACTAGACCTTTATATGAGTCATTTGCATTGATTTGTGATAATATCTTAAATATGGATTTGAAATTTAATTCTTCTCGAGTGCAATTATTAGAAAAACTTATTAGTGTTCAAAAACGGTTAGAAAGTCTGTCAATTATTGGTAATGGTAGTATAAATTATAATTCATTATTATTGAATATCATCAGTCAAAAAGAAACATTAAAGAGTCTTCGTTTAAAATCAGTAAATTTTTATAATTTCGAGGAGAAATTATCCCCAATTGGACAATTTTCTTCACTTCAAGAACTTTATATTGAAAATTGTTATGGATTGTGTAAATCGGATTGCTTATTTTTTGCTTCATCATTTACTCAATTAAGTAGTTTTCATTTGAGTAATCTTTTTTATGAGTGTCCTCAAGAATTTATTATAAAAATTCTCGAAACGGCCAATATAAATTTAAAAAACATTTGTCTTGATTTATATCATATAATTCTATCTGATAATATACTTTATGTAATTTTAAATTATTGTACAAAGGTTACCGAATTAACTCTACGAAATTTAAGTCTTGAACAAGTAATATCAATATTTAATAATAATTTAAATGAATTAAGGAGGTTTTCATTTGGTTGTGGAAAAGAATTGGATGCTAACATATTATTATGTCAAATGGCCGAAAGTGTACCAGAATCACTTGTAACTATTGAAATTAAAATGGGAACATTTAGTGCTGATAGTTTAAGAAAATTTTTTGAAGGGTGGTGTTGTAAAGGAGGAGGAAGAAATAAAAAGATGATTGTATCACATAAAATATTATTGAATGAACATTATAAAGTTATTAAAGAATATGGGGTTCAATTTGGTTTGGTTTAGAATAACAATATTTCAAATTATATCTTAAATACTATATCAACTCGGAAATATATTTAGTTGAGTTATGTATTTCTTTAAATCAATTATTATTTGTAAAGCTCTCAATCAGTTTGGTAAAAACCGAAACCGAACGGCCGGTTTCGGTTTATTAAATATACAAACCGAATATCTCGGTTCGGTTTCGGTTCGGTCTCGGTTTATTCATAGAAACCGAACCAAAAAACCGAAACCGACATATTCGGTTTGTATATTAATTTGCATCATGGTTTACCATCTATTTATATTAATAAAGATCTATTTTTTTTTAATAATTATAATGGCCGAGATTATAAGTGATACTGAATCAGAAAATTCTCAAGAAAACATAGATGATAATGAACCATCAGTTTCAAGAGAAGCCAGTAATAGTAATTTAGCAGAAGCAAGAAATAGCAATTTAACAGTGATTAATAATAACAACAATAATAGTGATAATAGCAATAATAAAAAAAAGCCTCTATCTATCAGTTTTTTACTTTAAATAAAGAAGAAAATAGATATTATTGTGATCATTGCATGTGAGTATTAAGGAAAGATATATGCATATAATGTAAATATATATGTATATACTTTTGACCTTTTAATTATAGTAAAAGTCATAAGGCTGCTAAAGATAGTTCAACTTCTACATTAAGGGCTATATTGCTTGTGAACATAAACAATTGAATTCAAAATATCTACTTCAGGACAATTGGATAAATTTGTTAAATCAAAAACAGCATTGGCATGTATAAATTTTTTAATATTATATTAACTGTACAACTTTACCAAATTTGATCTTGCGAACTTATTTTTAAACTCTATTTCCATCACTAATTAAACTTGTTTATTATATTGAGTATTATTGTTTTTTAAGATTTCATATTAATTGAACAAATACTCACAAGAAATCAACATTTTTTTAAAATAGATTAAATCGTTAATTTATCTGTGAATATTTGTTCAATCTGTATGAAAATTTAAATGGAGATATTACTAAATGTTATAAATAAGTTTAATTAGTGACAGAAATGGAGATTAGAAAGTAGTTCTGAAAGAGAAACAGATTCATCCTTTAAACTTTATTTTTAATATTAACTTTAAATAAATAATAGATATTTACTCAAGAAAATTTGATTGAAGATTTGATAAATTGGATTTTAGCTGATGATCAATCTTTTATTGTTGTTGATAAAGAATCATTTAAAACCATGATAAAAAGACTTAATCCAAATGCTAAATTACCTACTAGTAATACTATTTGAAACAATTCTCAAAACTTTTGGAAATGAAAAAAAAAGTGTTTATTGGATTTCTTCAAACTGGGATTAAAAAATACAATTCTTGATTTTCAACCATTAGAAGGAACATATTTAGGTGAAAATCTTGCAAGAGTTTTTTTTAATACAACAAAAGAATATGAAATTTTGAATAAGGTCAGTTTATTTTGATTATATTTTGATTATTTAAACATATTTATTTATTAATATGTATTTTAGATGCTAGGAATTACCACTGACAGTGCAACTAATATGGATATGATGTTTAATTGTTTGGATGTTTGTTGTACTAATGAAGGAACTACATTAAGCTCTGAAAATCAATGTATACAATTCCTTGCACATATTATTAACCTTGCTGCTCAAATACTCTAAAAGCATTACAAGGATTGGGACCAGAAAATAAACAAGATGTATTACAAGAATCTATTAATGAAACTTCTTTAGGAGTTATTGCAAAATTAAGAAAATTGGTGGTTAAAATTAGGGCCTCTCCATTATGATGTGAACGATTTTGTCAATAATGCAAAGCTGTTAATGTAAAGGAACTTCAATTAATTCCTGATATAAAGACAAGATCGAATTCCACATATGACATGATTGAGAGAGCAATATTTCTTTGTGAAGTAAAAAGGATTTATATTAATTATATTGATTTGTATTATTTTCTAAATATATTTTTTTTATTAGCCACTTCATAATATGGTATCTGTTGATAATAACCTTTCTGTATATTTACTACAAGAAGAAAAATGGAATAAATTAAGCAATATAAAAGATTTATTAAAGGTATAATTAATGTTAAAAATATATATTTTTTAATAAAATATATTAATTATAATTTATTATAGTGTTTTAAAAATGCTACCTTGGAAATAAGTACATCAAAATTTCCTACTCTAAATCAAACTGTTCCAGTTTACAACTATTTATTTGATAATATTGAAGAATTTCAACAAAAAAATGAACTTTCAACTGATATGAATGATGCTATAAATCTTTCAATATGAAAACTTGATGACTATTATTCAACTTCTGATGGTTTAGTTTATATTGTTGCAACAAGTATGATATTTATTTATATTTTCATATTTATTTAAATTTAAATTTTAATTATTAATACTTTGTTTTATATTAAATAGTTTTGGACCCTCATTTGAAACTGACTTATTTTAAAGAAAATAATTTTGATTCTAATTATATTAAAACATGTAAACAACAAATTACTAATTTATGGAAAAGAAAATACAAACCTGATGGAAATCAAGAATCAAATATTTCAATTTTAAACAAACAATATTAACTAATCATATTTTCAAAAAGCAAAAAAGTATATATAAAGATGAATTAGAATCTTATTTGAAAGAACCTGCATCTAATTTTAATATGGATTTATTATCATACTAGAAGGTATAATATTAAAATTGTAATAAATTAATGTTAAATATTGATATATATAATATATATTTTATTTTATTTATAGTTACATGAATTACAATTTCCTAACCTTGCTAAAATGGCTAGTGATTATCTTCCAATTCAAGTATAATTTTTAATATTATATAAATAATATTTCTAATTATTTTTTTAAATGCATATTTTTATTTTATTTTGAATAGGAACTAGTGTTCCTGTTGAATGAATATTCTCAGGAGGTACAGATTAAGTAACATAGAGGAGATGCAATTTAAATTCAAATACCATTAGAATGTGCATGTGTTCGAAAGGTTGGATAATGAAAATATTAATGAAATTAGTGAAAATATTAATGAAAATAATTAAATCATGTATAATTTTAAATATAGTTTTAAAAATTTATTTTATATAATTTTAAAATTAATTTTATATAGTTTTAAAAATTTATTATGAATAATTTTAAGATATTTATATAATAATAAAATTAGTTTTGATTAATTTTGGATCTATTTTTTCATTAATAAATAAAATATTCATATAAAATTAATATAATCTTAACTGGTAATTTGAATTGTAATAAATAAAATATAATGATAAGAAAATTGCTAAAACTCACCAGTAATGATTGTCACCACTGGACAAAATTAAATTTACGTGGGCAGTGTTAGGGTGAATTGATCAGGGAATTATGTAATTTTGTCTAGTGGTGACAATCACCACCAGTGAGACATTAAATTTTAAAATTTAAACCGAAAATAACCAGTTCAGTTCGGTTTCAGTTTGAGTATTCATTTCCTGGTTTCAAACTGAAACAAAACTGGAAGTTTCAGTTCAGTCTCTGTTTTACTTCCAAACTGAACTGAACCAAACTGTTGAGAGCTTTACACCCAAGTTAGATTTGGGTTCCAATTCAATTCTCAAATGGATAATTCTAATAACAACTTACATAAGTTATAATGTAATGTTCCACTCACTTTAAATTAAAGAAAAATTTAATTGGAGTGAAAGTTAAGAATATTAAGAATACCTCATTGTTTAACTTTATAAATATTTCAATTATTTAAAATTTTTATTTTTATTAATCCATTAATTTATTATGATAGTGATATGATAAAGAATTCAAACTAGAATTTCATCTGTTAAAATATTTTTGTCATCAAAACTCTCTCCAAACCATGGAATAGAGTTATCAATAAAGTAGAAAGATGATGTCAATGAAATCCAATAAGTTAATTAAAGTATTCTATAAATTATCATAATGATTATTAAAATGTTATTAATTTAAAAAAAGGATGAAAAAAGCTCTTAGAACCAGATTTAAGCGTGGTTGTTTATTGGTTGAAAGAAGAATGAAAGTTATTAATTATATTATTTATTTGATTCGATTTATTAAAATTATTTTTACTTAAATTCTATTTATTATATTTATTTTTTTAGGATTCATTAATAAATTCTACATAGATTTATACATTAGTTAAAATATATAGTGATTCAAAGGACAAAGACAAAATGCGACAGGAGAATATTCCAGATTTTATTCGAATAGTTGATAGAAAAGATGTTAGAATAAATTAGATGATACAAAAGTATTGTGCAAATAAGGCATTAATATATTTATTCTTAATACAATTATTTCTTGATGCAAATATTTAAATATTAATTTCAAATATATATACTTTTCTTTAATACATAGATCATATTAAAGAAATAATTTAAATTTTATCAAGACTTTTTATTCTAAATAATATGATCAATAAACTTCAATCTCAACAATTCATAAAAAAGCAACTGAAATGAAGATTATTGTAAGAAAGCAATCATTTCAGTTTGTCGAATTTTTAATATAAAATTTACCCTCCAAAAATTATTCAAATAATCAAATTTTTAAAATAAATTCTTTATCTCTTAGCAGCTACAATTAAGAATCTCTAAAATAATCAGAAATTCCAATCATTGCCTCTGCTACCGTCTTCTCTTCAATACAGAAGAAACTCAAAATATCATCACAAGTCCCTTCATCTCTTACATTGATACAAATTTCAATACAATATCAATTGAGCAGTCAACAGCCTCTTTGCTATCTGTATTATCATATTTCTACATAACCTAATATTAACTATCAAACTCAATATTGACAATCTGATCAATCTCAACAATGATACTGAATTTTTACAATTGTAAGATTTTTTTTGCAAAAGTTCCTAGACCTTTACCAGAAATAATTGTAGATTCACTTCTGAATACTGAAGAGTTTGACTTAAACATCACAAAAACAAGATTGTTAAGAGTTGTAAAAGATATATTTTCTCATTTTTTCTAGCTAAAAGAAAGCTCTTGATTAGTGGTTAGTTTTGTTCTGGTTGTTTAATTCACAATAGTTATAAAAAATTGCTGATTAATATTTTTTAGTAATCAGAAATATCAAAAAAATCTTTGATAAATTATTGTCAAAATATAATCAGTTGAAATGGACACATTTATTATGATCACTTTTTTACGAAAAATAGATGCTTTAAATCAATAATCACATTTCAAATGTTTCAAATATCACTTCATATGAAAATTAAAATTTTAAGAGATGGGATAGATACAAATATTTCATTACCAAAAAAAATGTTCATGTACTTAACAAGAAGAAGGAACTGCTCAGGAAGATTTGCCAAATTCTATGACTGAAACTCTCAATACTATTAGATGAGTGAAGTTCACAACATGCTATGATAAACTTAAAACTATACGGTGCACTCGTTTTTGATATAAGGATGTTATTATTATCATTGCTTTTCTTGCTTTTTATTAATACTTTCTTCTTTTAGAAGCACTATTTTGTTTTGTGCCTTTTCCAGTTGTCTTTCAGTTTGTTTAATGTGCTACATTACCCATACACGCCATAATGCCTCCTTTACCTTATATTTTCTTTTAACAAAGAAAATAATGTAAATTATTCTTTGCAGTCAGAAATTTGGCATAAATTTCAAAGAATATGATTAACAATAACACAATACTATACTATTGTTGACTGTAATTTGCCTTTGTTAAAGCACAATAACATACAACTAATAACGGGAAAACTAATGTATAAAAGAACACAAAGCAGTTATATGAATGTGTTAAAGTTGAAAAGTTTATATTATAAGACAAGTATAAATGATAAAGGACTTGAGATTGTAGGTTTTTTATTCAAAAGAGGCAAGGTAAGTGTGAGGTTTTATAAATATAACTTGTCAATAAAAGTTATAATACCAAATAATAAAACTAACTAAAATAATCACAAAATATACTAACAAAATACTAACTAATAAACTAACTGTCCTTATTCACAGAGAAGGATAATTTTAAAGGGATATTTACTAAGATCACTAAGCAAAGTAAATATTATCACAAGGAAAAATGCTCATAACACAAAGTAGAGCTTAACAAATTATCTATTCTGATTATGAAGCAGAATAATAATCACAATGAATAATGCTAAGATCACAAAGCAAGGCAATTACAAAAAGGTTTTTCACTAAGAAATCACAAAGGTTTAAATTATTATTTGTCATGAAAACTTTATTAATAATTTATTATTAATATTGAGTTCTGAATTTCTGACTTATTCAATTCTTAAATTATTTTCAAACTAAAGTAAGCTAATTCAAACTGAACTTTTCAAAGGTGAAGGAAAACCCATCCTTTATATACATTAATTTCTTTGATATAATTTTTGAAATAATGACAATCCATATCACAAATGTATATTTTTACCTTTGATTTTACCTTTATTTTTATTAATTATTTATATATTTAATTATTATATATTTTATACTGTATATTTATTATTTTAATATTATTTATCATTTATTTCTTATTATTATATATAGTATCACAGTAGATCAATTTATTGGGCTTAGTACAAATTAAATATTATTACTTAAATTAGTAGATTTCTAAATTCTTGTTAATCTGTAACACTATAACACAAATTAGAGTACAAGCCATAGTATGAGTTAATATCTCAGTTAAATTAAAAGTTAAATTAACAGTAAGGTACCAAATAGGATATTAACATAGATACTAGTGAAGTTTTAAGTCAGATTACAAGTTAGCTTTACAGTTAAATCTATCATATATATAAAGGCTAATAATTCCCTCAACTTAGTCTTCAGTTTTCTAGTTTATCTTAGTTTTAAGTTAGTCTTGTAGAGTTCGATAGTTAGTTAGTTAGGATTTATTAAGTAATAAAGTTAATATTACAAAATCCTTTGAGTTCCTTGTTTATTGAATTCTTTTGATAATTGATAAACTGTTTGTTCCTATTAACAAGTCTTCATATCACTGTTAATAGTTAATATGCCTCTTTCATAATTGATCAACTATAATTCCTTCTACATATAAACCCTTGTATTATGATTATTTTATTTTGAGATTAGTAACTTTATAAGTTTTATTTAGTTTTGTTTCTTAGTTTTAGTATTATTTTACCCCATTGTCTTTGTAAATTGTAGAAGGTTTACACAGATAACAACATCAAAGACTATTTTAAGTAATAAATTATAATTGGAACTACATGATTAAATTAATATACTAATAAACTATAAAACTATAATGATAAACATATATAAGAAAATGTAATAGTTAATAATAAAATAAGGCAACACTATTAAAATATATAATCAAACACAAAATTGGAAGGAAAATCAAAATCAGTTATTAAATATCCAAATAAACTTTTTCTATTAACATAACAATATAAATGGTACTGAATAAAGTTAAAATTTAGAATTGAACTTAATATTAATGAGATGTGTTAAAATTATTCTCTAAAATTTAATTATCTATTATTTACTTAATTCTCAATATATAGGACTAAAATTTTCACAAAAGATGCTCTATCTATCAAGCTTTAAGGTTACTTAATACCACAATTATTGTTTCATTAAGAAATAATAAAGTTACAGGTACATTAATAATAAATAATTATTTTCAGATTTTTTTTTATTTTAATCTTTATTTTTATTAAATTTTGACCATTTTTATTCATGTCTAAGTAATGTCCAATCTTTTACTATATACCATGAAAAGTGTCTCTGTCTCTAATTAAAGTTGTAGATATTAGTCCTGGCTACATTTTCATATAAGATAATTGGCATCTATATTTAATATCCATCAAATTTATTATTTTTTGTTAATTTCATTTGAAATATAATTTCTCTATATGTAGATGTTCAATTTTAACACAAAATATATTATACTAGATTAGGGTAATCTAATAAAAAAAGTTTTGCAATTTAAAAATCCATTGGGGATACAATTATCATTTTAATTTTAGTAATTTTTTTAAAAATTACCAAAATAAAAACACAATGAGTGAACAAACCTTTTCTTTATTAGATTCCCCTAAACTAGAGCTATAATGTGATATATTTTATGTCAAATCAAATTTCTGCATTTGGAGTAATTACACTTGATCTTGAAATAAAATTGACAAAAAATAATAAATTCAATCTGTAAACATTACCTAGGGTTCCACAGAAATATTTGAATCCAAATTATTCTGTGGATTGAATTTGAATCAGATTGGATCAGTTTGTACTGCTACAGATCCAGGTCCAGATCAAATCCAAAAAAATAAAATCCGATATGGATTCAGATTGATCAAAAATGGATTTGAATTGATCCATTGATCCGAAAGATCTGAATTCAAAAAATAGATTGAATCTTGTAATATATCAAATCTGAGATTAATAATTTAATAATAAATTAAAATAATTGCTTTTTCATTCATATTTTTAAAAATTAATTTTATATTAAAAATTTGCATATAATTGATAATTAAGATTTTATATTTATGTTAAATTTTTTTTATTATAAGTTATTAATTTGATATATTTTTAGGATTTTAAAAATGGATTGTGAAAAATTACAAACCATTACAAGCCATCAAGATGGTCAACATAATAATGATGATAATTTTAATAATGATAATTTTAACAATGATGATGATAATAATCATAATTTTGATAATGATAATAATTTTAATAATGATAATGATGATAATAACAATAAAGATAATAATCAATCAAAAAATAGAGTTATTAAAAAATCTCAAAAAAAAAATCAAATTTAACTCAAACAAGTAGTCATATTTGGAAGATTTCAACAAAATAAGTTATTTTGAAAAAAGCAAATATGTAAACATTGTGATTTATCATATATATGTTCTGTAGATAGCACTTCAAATCTATTGAAACATTTATAGAAATGCTAGCATGAATTTCAAACCAAAGTATAACTATTGAAGAAATATTTAGTCAAAAAAAAGTAGATGTACTGTTTTTTATTTATTTTTTATTATTTTTATAAATTATTAATAATATATTTTATTATAAGTGGAAATATAATCAAAAAGGAATGAGAAATAAGCTTGTTAAGTGGATTGTTATTAAGCAACATCCATTTACTATTGTTGAGAAAGAAGACTTTATTAACTTTGTATATTCACTTTATTCCAATAAAAAGAAATATTATGAAATTATATGTAACAAATGCAGCTAAAATACAAACAGTTCTTCAAGAATTGCACAGTAAAATCTCATTCATAACAGGCATCTGGACTTCTCCTTCAATGAAATCTTTTTATCTATAACTGCACATTTTATTGATAATAAATGTAAACTTCAAACTATCATAGTATATTTTGTACAAATTTTTGGTTCACATACAGTCATTAATATAAAAAATTCATTTGTATCAGGTTTAAAAAGTCTATCTATTCAAAAAAAGGTAAACTTATTTTTTATTTTTTTTTTTTAATTCTAATTTATTTATTAATGTGTAATTTTATATCACAGTTATTAGGGGCTACTACAGGCAATGCTTCTAACAGCAATACATTTGTTTAGACTTTGGATAATTGAGTGAAATAAAATGAAAACTCTTTTTGAGAAACAAAAAATATTTTCTGATGTTTTGCACATGTCATTAATTTGAGTGTTCAAAGTACTTTAGCTTGTTTAAAAAAATGAATTGAATTAGATATTTGTTAATAATTGTTCTTAATATTGCCAATTATGAATTGAGTATAGCTTTATAATATTTAGCTTTGTTATAATCCATAATATAGCTTAGAGAACTCATAACTAAAGTTCATGCATCTCCTCAGAGATGTGAAAAATTAAGTTACTTTTGTAAATTTCATGAAGTCAATAATTTGAAACCAATTTTAGATGTGGCAGCTCAATGGAATTCAACATTTGAAATGATTTCAATAGCATTAAAAATGAGAACAGTTAAGATTTTATAATAATTTTAATTTTTTAATTTGATAATTACTAATTTTAATTTTTCAATTTGAAAATTAATTATTATTTAGGCTTAAATTTAATAACTCTTTCAGATAAAGATTTTAAATATCATGTACTTACTGATGATCAATGGTGTCAACTTGAAACATAATAGATTTTCTTCAGCCATTTAAAGAATTATAACTATAATGTTAAGTAGTACATATCCTACACTTTCTATTACAATACCTCTTTATAATAGTCTCATTAAGCATGCAGAAGATTTTATTAATACAGGAAATATTAATTAAAAAAGCAGCAGAAAAGAGCAAAGAAAAATTATTAGAGTATTATAATAAAACAAATGAAACTTATCTTATTGCAACTATTTTAGATCCAAGATTTAAAATATTATATTATTATTATGAAGAAAATGAATAGAGTCATGATGAAATAAATGAATCAATCAAAAGTTAGTATTTTTAATATTTTAATTTATTATTTAATTATTAACCTTTTTAGAATTTCTTCAATTTACAATACATTTTATGTATCTACTTTACATGAGATTTCAAATGAAAATAAATCTTTTGAACAGAAAAATTCTTTTATGTGATGTTTATCCAAAAAGTGCCAAACAGAAAAATTGAATGAACTTCAAGTATATATTTCTTTATCTACAGTTGATAAACAGTAAATTCTCTTGAATAGTGAAAAAATAATATGGACCAATTTTCTTATCTTTCTAAAATGTCATATGAATATCAGCAACAAAACAATGTTTTCAACCAGCAAAAATTTAATTATAGGTAATAGAAATCAGTTAGCAGGTAAAACTGTAAGAGCTTGTATGTGTTTAAGATTATAATGAATTGATCTATTGAAAAATAAATTATAAATATTTTATAGTTATGTGTACAGGTTTTATAAAGTTTAAAAACAATTATTTTTGTTTTTCAATTAGTAAAGGGTTCATTGTTATAGCACAAGTCACTATATCAAGTTTAAAAGTTATGAGATGCACTTCTCAATATGATCAATTTGTTTCCCATTTGTATAACTTTGGAAAATACTTGTAATTAAAAAATCATTGATCATTGTTACATATGAAACTTTTTATTTTAATATATAATTATTAAAAATAGTACTAAGTAATTATAAAAATAAGAATAGTTTATATACTATGTAAAAAGGATAGATCTATATAATTAAAATTGAGAGAATTCTGAACAGTTAAATTTAAACAGATAAAAACTTTTAAAATATCATCTAATCACTTGATTTTGATCATAGAAGTCCGTGCTTTTTATATAATATGTAACAAATTCTAGTATTTAAGATTACTTAGTATTGTTTTTAGTATTTACCTATTAAAATAAAAGGTTTTATATGTAACAACAATTGATAATTTTATATATAATTATATAATATATAAAAATATTCAAATCTACAAAAAATATTCAAATCCATAAAAAATTTTCAAATCCATGCAATATTCAAATCTAAAAAAAATATTCAATTTCACAAAAAAATATTTAAATTCACAAAAATAGTTAAATTTATAAAAATTATTTAAATATTTTTATGTATTCAGATTGAATTTGGATTGTTCTGAATATACTAAAAATTGAATTCATATTTTAAAAAGTTGAATCCATATACAGTATGACAAATCTGAATTAGATTTGAGAAGAATAAATATTAGATATATCCAATATTGATAAAAAGCTGATCTAATTTGACTTTGTGAAATTCTATCATTACCTTTACACATTTGATAAATATTAAATATAGAAACCAACTATCTTATATAAAATTTAAATTGAAATAAAAAAAAAATCTGAAAATAATTATCAATTATTTATACATATAAAACTTTACTATTTATTAATTTAACAATAAAAGTAGTATTATTACAGTTTTCAAATTAGTATGATTATTTAAAAAATCTAGTTATATATAATTAAAAGGTATTCGAATACCTTATAAACAAGATTATGTACCTGATCTTTAAATCTAACCAATAAATTTCATATAAATTTATATACATAATAAATGCAAATGAATATTTAATTTTTATTGGTTGAATTTGAAGATCAGACACGTGATATTGTTTATAAGGTATTTGAATATATATGACCAGTTTTTTTAAATAATCGCAATAATTTGAAAACCATGATAAATAATATTAAAGATTGAAAAATAGAGTATCTTTTTGTAAAAGTTTCAGCTCTATATATTAAGAAATGAATGAATAATACATAATTAAATTTCAGAGAATAATTTTAAACATCTGATATTTAACAGTAATATTAAACTCATTTTTCAATTTAAAAATCAAAAACTTTTACAATAGATACTCCATATATTATAATTCAACTTTACTTAGTAACTTTTTACTATTATATTAATATATAAGAAGTTCTATATATAATTACAATTGATAATTATTTACAGATTTTTTTTAATTTTTTTTGATATAGATTTTACTAATTTTTTTTAAATTTGAAAATAACTATCAATCTTAGTTATATAAGTTATATATAAAACTTTTTTATTAATATTAAAGTCACAAAAGTTATAAAAATAATATTAAAGCTAAGAATTAAGCATATTTTCTGCAAAAGGTTTAGAATTTTTCAATGAAAATTGAAAATATAACAATTATTTGAAATTTAAAGAAATTTTTAAAAATTTAAAAAAATTTAATTTAGTAAAATCTGTATTGATCATTTTAAAAAAATTAGAAAAAAATCTGAAAATAATTAATAATTGTCAATTGTAATCACATATAAAACTTCTTTATACTGCATATTAATATAATAGTAAAAAAGATACTAAGTAAAGTTAATCTGCAATATATTGTATATCTACTGTAATATTTTAGACTTTTAAATTGAGAGTTAAGTTTAAGATTAATTGCTAAATATCAGATGTTTAAAATTATTTTCTGAAATTTAATCATATATTATTTATTCATTTCTTAATATATAAAACTGAAATTTTTACAAAAGATACTTCATAAATCAATCTTTAATATTACTTAATACTCTTTTCACAGTTTTCAAATTAGTGTGATCATTTGTTATATATAATTGAAAGGTATTCGAATACCTTATAAACAAGATCACGTGCTTGATCTTTGGATCCAACCAATAAAATTTCATATGAATTTATAAATGCGTAAAATATTAATTATTATTAGCTGGATTTGAAAATCAGGCACGTGATCTTGTTAATAAGGTTTTTAAATTTTTAAATACCTTTCAATTATACCAGTACGATCACGTTTCATGTGTAACATGAAATGTGCAGAGGGATGGATGGATTTAACTTTATTGATGTCGCTTATGCTCATTCTTGAATTTGTTTTAGGAAATATCCTTTTTTAGTAAAAGTTACAATTTTCATTTATTTTTTTAAGAGTTATAGACTCTTTGCAGTATTAACTGTAATTGATATAAACGTGTGTAAATCTTTCGATGACTTAAAATAAATGTCATCATGACTATATTTTTTATTTATTTAATTTAATTAAATTAATTTAATATGAAATTAGTATGTAATATTATAAGTTATTAATTCTTTTCGAATATGTAATTATTTTCATTTCATATTAAATCTTTATTTAATAAAAAAGGTGGATTCGTTCACGTATGATTTGGTATCTGCTATATTACATACGAATACTTATTTGATATAATAATTGATACTTGACTATGTAAATATAACTTTGAAGCTTAAGATTGGGAAATGAAACGTATTAATTTTTTTAATAATATTAGGAATAATACTGTGATTTCAAATAGTTATAGGTCAAAACATAAACAACAAAAAGTTATTAGACGAGCAGATGCAAATTATCGTCATCACGAATGAGAGCAGCAATGTAAACGGTGTGAAATTCAACATGCTAAAAAATGAAAAATTTGTGTTGAAAGAGATACTCGAGCAATTGATGCGCAGGTTCCGTTATGCATTCTAGAAATGAATGATGAATTCAATTCGTTGAGAGAACTGTATGCGAATTGGCCGCAACTGATTGACAAGGCCGTTGCGGATAACGCACTGGTGGAATTTCATGAATGTGTTAGTTGTGATTCGCTTAGAGAATTACCTGTGCAGTTTGTTCTGGTTTATATTCGTATGAACATTTAGCTACTATTTCCATGAAAGAAATGAACTTGCCACTACTCGAAATTAATAAGTATCTTGAAAAGCCTTTTTTTGAAATTGATTTTATGTATGAACACCTGTGTGTAGACGAAAGTGGTCATAAAATTTTGTTAAATAGAAATGGATTCATCAAAAAAAATACAAACAATAATGAAAATTCATTTGATCTCCGAGTATGTAATAATTGTAAACGTTCATTAAGTGCAGGTAACACTCCAATATTTTCGATGACAAATATGTAGATTGGAGCAACTCCGCAATGTCTTCAGGGATTAACAATACCAGAACAACTTTTAATATCTGCGGGTTATATATGTATAAACTTGATTCAGCTTACCAATCGAAGACATATACATCACAAATTAAAAGACCATGTAATTATATTTACACAAGAACCAACTTCGCTTTCTACGGTTTTACCTTTACCCGTGTATCAACTGTGTGATCATTTAAAAATAGTATTTGTTGGAGAGAAACAACCCTCGGAAAAACAATTAAAAAAGGTATTGTGTGTGAGAAAGAATAAAGTTGCTACAGCTTTGAAATGGTTAATAAATTATAACATTTTTTATAAAGATATTAAATTTGATAAGACAACACTAGAATCTTTACTGGAAAATGAAGTACCAATGGCTTTATTGGCAACAACCATAATGGTTAATATTGATCCCAGAAAACTAGAACATTATACTGGATATATGATAGATCCGATCGACGAGGGTGATGTTATACCTGCCACCCAAATTCAAAATCCAAATGCCGAAATCCCAAATGCCGAAATCCCAAATCCCAAATCCCAAATTATGATTAGTATTTTTTGCCGAAATCCCAAATCCCAAATACTAGTAATTTGGGATTTTGGCATCCCAAATCCCAAATGATTTGGGATTTGGGCAACACGTATAGGTGATGTAAATGACGATTTATATAATATTGACGATGAAGAAGTAGGTAATAAATATGGAATACCCAAGTTGCATGGTTCTATCGATGGCTCAACTGAATTGAGAAATTTGGATATGACTTATACTGATAATGATCCTATCTCTGAACAAGAACGTACTTTAAAATTGCTTGAAAAAATGATTCAAGAATCGACTGATAATAGACAAAATTATTCTCGCACGATCTTGATGCCACATTCGAATGTACCTAAAAATGAGTATGTAAATCTGTCACTTTTACTTGCTGCATTTTCTACTTTATTTCCTTACGGGGTTAGTGGTCATGAAAATAATTTCTGTAAATATTACATATCATTTAAACAATACATCAAACACCGATTGCGACTCCGTGACCCTAAATTTAGACATTATCGTTCATTTGTCTTTGCAGCATTTGATACATTAAGAAGAAAAGAAATTGCATCGGAAACATATTTAATAGCAAAACAATCGAATTTTAAACGATCAGCTGAATTAATTTCGAAGCTTACACCAAATGATATAAAAATTGCTATTAAGCAAAAACAAGACAATCAACCAATAACAAACGGAGCAGTGCTTGAATTAACTAAAAATATAAATGTTGTCAGCAGGAAAATAATGGGCTCACATCAATTGCAGAACCTTCTTCGTAATGAAATTCGTGCTGTTATAATACTTGACGGTTCACCTTCGTTATTTGTAACTATTAACCCCACTGATCTTCATAGTTCAATTGTAATAATGTACGCTGAAAAAGAAATCGACATTAATAATCTACTTCCTGAAGACTTTCCAACTGTGACAGAAAGAGCTAGATTAGCTCACCTTGATCCAACTGCGGTAGCGAAATAATTTAACGTGATTATAGAAAAAATAATCAAATTTATCCTTGGTTATAAAAGATCAGGAGGTGGTATACTAGGTGAGATAAAAAACTACTATACAGTAACAGAATATCAAGATCGTGGTACACCTCATTGTCATATGTTGATTTGGCTCCAAGGTGCTTCCGATCCTATTGAATTACGAAACCGTCTTAAGCTTGAAGATTTCAGGAAACGATTGATACTTTATATAAATAAAATTATCAAAGAAGATATTAGTTATCTTTTTTCAAACAATGATTACCTAACTGATAAAATGTTAGATGCCGAATACAAAGCCCCGAAAACCATTTTAGAAAAAAAAGTCCATCCGTCAATTTAGCCTATTATCCCCAGATTTCGATGAAAATTTCCATCTCGATATCCTCAGAATTGCAAAATGCACATTGTTTCATAGGTGTACCAAATCATGTAAAAAATATTATCATGGCCAAATATCTAATTGTCATTTCAATTTCCCTCGTGAATTAGTAGAAGCACCTAGAAAAATTTATTCCGAATTTGGAATTATCATCCTTTAACGTCACAATGCTTACATCAATAATCATAACCCTTATATAACTACCAGTTGCCGTGGAAATAATGACATCAAATTTATTGCAACTATTAAGTTAGCACTTGCATACATTCACTATATTACAAATTATATGACGAAATCTGATGCGAACACTCACAATTCGTTTCTCATGTGTGTGATGACCTTATACCTGCCACCCAAATTCAAAATCCAAAATGCTGAAATCCCAAATGCCAAAATCCCAAATCTCAAATCCCAAATTATAATTAGTATTTTTTGTCAAAATTCTAAATCCCAAATCTCAAATATTAGTAATTTGGAATTTTGCGTTCCAAATCTGAAATAATTTGGAATTTGGGTAACACGTTGTTGATCGTGATTACCTTTACTAAACACGATTAACTAACAACTGATAACAGGGAAACTATTGTCCAAAAGATCACAAAGCAATTGGACGAATATGTTACAGTTGGAAGGTTTTATACTTGAAGAGGTATAAGGGGTAAAGGATTTGAGGTTGCGAGTTTGTTCGAAAGAGGCTAAGGTGTGAGATTTTTAAAGGGATATGGGGTTTAAACAATATGACACTAAGTCGACTAATATTCACACAGAATATTATAAGTTTCACACAGAAACTACAAGAATTCACACAGAATTAATATAATTAACCAAGATCAC